CAATGCCCAGCATGAGCATTGGAAACGTCATTCGTGAACTCAAAATGACCGACTTGTTATGTAGCTCATTTCAGTGGAGTCATGCCGCATGCCGTTTCGGCCGACCGCCGTCATTGGCCCGATTGGCCGACTGCCGTCATCTAGTCAACCAATAGGAGTCTACGGTTTAGTCTCAGTTGATTCCGACAGAGAGCAGGAGGAGCATAGGGCGGGCATTTTTGAAAATTGTTCTGGTCGCCAAGCGGAGCGGGTGAGCTTATCCCTACAATCATGTTTTACTTCTATTTCTCTTGATTCTAAATTCTAAATTCTAAATTCTTTTAAATTTTATCTTAATGATAACTCTTATCGAAGTAGACATATTGTTCTTGAGTCACCTACCACCTTGACGCATCGCGGAAAAATATATAACCGGCGCAGCCATACTTTTGTACTGAATCCTTTTGGAAATTTTAGAGAAATAAAGGGTGGTTATTTTGGTATGTTTTTTTATTTCATTACATTAGTTTTATCATTTTATTCATTTTGCCAATTCCATCATGAGCGTCACAAAATCAAAATACCCATCATCCCCCGCCCCTACCGATCCTATGACTCAAACACTTCTTTTTACCTTCTCATTTTCTAAATTCCTGGGCAGTTTTATGAAAATCCCAACATTTTTTTCTTGCAATTTTAATTTGGCTTTTTGTGAATTTTAATTTTAACTAAATTTTTAATTCAGCCCCCCCTCCCCTCCCCGCCACTTTACATTTTACGTTAGCATCTAAAAGTTGCCTCAGGCCATTCTGACCCTCAGTGCTTCACATACTTACTGTTGCTGTTTCGTCAAATTTCCCAAAAAATCCATATAGAAGCGCGAGAAACTTCCGAAAAAGACTCCTGAACCTTAGCAGTTCCCGCGTTTTTTAAAAATATAAAAAACTTTATAAAAATGGCGGGAAATAATTTATATGTTTATACTTTTGACGTCACTTTGGAACAAGAAACGTTCTCCCTCACCCTGGTTTCTTTCTCTTGCTGACAGATCTCTTGCGGCCTCTCCATTGACGTATAATACAATCTAGACCGCGCATTGGGCCCGACTTTGGGCGGGGAAGGTAAGACAGCTAGGGGGGTAAAGACGCGCCTTCAGCCTAGTTGATACCGCCGGATATACGAGCTAAGTGTACCCGTATCAGGCAACGGCACTGGCAAGACTGGCATTTCCACGAATTCCACCATTGTCTCGCCGGTACACTTGCTGTGTGTTGCTGGGTTGCCTATCGTCTCGCTTGAATTTCGTAATGCGCGGTCTAGATTGTATTATACGTCAATGGGCCTCTCTCCTGCAAAATCATGGCTTCTTCTTCGAAAAGTGCTGAAATCAACCGTCGACGTCCCGTAGTCCGCGCTCAAACTGTGTCGTTCTCTTCGTTAGTTTTCTTTCAGTAAACGATACTTTGCCTCTATTTTGTGTTATTTACTTTGACAACCAATATCTCGTGCGATTAGTCAGTGATTTTGAGTTTTTTCCTGTTAATGTTCGATGACATAACGGTGTTTTCTGTGGATGGATGAAGCCTACCATAGTGTAGGCCTTTTCATATGTTATTATCTTTAACAGCGAAGTACGTTATTTACAAAGTCATTTTTCCCCTCTCCTCTTAATCGCATGCCCGTATTTCATATAACCATTTGCCTTTGATTAAGTCAAGCTCTGACCAATGTCATCTTGGTTAAGTTGTTGTGACACTGAAATGCCTCCGATACACCAGAAGCATCCCATGAACCCAAGATTTTTCTCATCATTACAATAACTACATATTTCAGGTTTACTTTTGGCATGTTTATTAGTCTATTTAGCTCATAGCTGTCTTCTAATATACTTAGCATCGCAAGCTACATACTCTGACCTGATTGATAGCTGGGTTGCGCCTGATTAGGATGCCTGCTAGAAGGTAAACTTCGTAGCAATCAACAGTAATGAAACTTTCATCACAGGTATTGAAGGATGCTGTGATATTGGTTCCATTATTGGTCAGCTAGTACCACTAAACTATATTTCAGTATCCTGGCCCTGGAATTTTAGCCTTTAGTCTTTGATAACATGTTGTCAGACCCGACTTCTGTCGCCCCGTTGACAGTGTTTACCATAGGACCGTCACACTTTAAATGAGAAGTTCTAATTTCTAATGTTGGAATCCTTGCTGAATATACAAAATTGACCAATGTAGCTGTGTCTGTTAGTATTCCTGTAAAGATGTAATATTTTGATTTAGTTCATCTAGAACTGTCAGGAGAGGTTAGATTTGATCCAAATATCCCAAGCTGACCCAAGCAATGCACTAGAGAGGCTAGTTGAATTTTGTCTGCCAAGAAAATTTGTTTTTACCGTTAGTTTTACTCATATTTTTGAGATACTGGTATGGCCAGCTTCAGTACAGTCATCATCTAGCAGACTAGTGTTATCCAAGGTGTGTGGAGGAGACCATTACGATCGAAGGTTCGTGAGGTAATATCCTAACAGTAGCCGTTGCCCCCAGATTTAAATGTTTAAAGGGCAAGACCGTAGATCAACCATCTTTACTCTTGTATTTTTGGTGTCAAAGTGGGCAGATTTTCTGTCGCGTTCTGTAAGTGTACATATGTATTTAGTACTGACTCAGTAAGGTGGATCTCCCTCACATATTTTTAAAATTTAATATGCATGAGACTCGACCACATTTTCAGCATAAATCACATTTTGAAATTCTGAAAAAATTGTTGACCTTTTAGCACTGTTTTTACAGCCGGTGACTGGTTGAATCATCATCAATCCCCTACCCCCCTCTTTAACTATTTCCTCTCAGATTTTCCCTCTTTTTAGGAGTGATACTTTGATTTCTTATTGAGAGGAATAATGAAACATAAGTCAATGAATGCTACGTTTTAAAACAAGTCACTGAGCTTCACTTGGGTAGGGAGTAAGAAATATCCTTAAGTAAGAGAAGTTCAAGTTTCTTTTTCTGTTTTCAGGTAAAAATGCCGCACGATAGCAATGTTGTCTACCCGCAAGGGTGTCGTCCCATTTCAGAAGACTTGGGGCCTGATGAATTGATTCGAAGATTGAAGGTTTGTAGTTTTTGTAATTTATTTCATCCTTCACAGAGTATAGCAACTTTAATAGAGTTTTAAAATGCATGTCAGTCATGAAACAATGGAAAGGAGCTCTCTCCCATTTTTCTCTCGATAGTCCAAGAGCCTGATGATATGTCGTGACTAATTCCGGACCCAAGTTTTGACCCCTTTAATTTGGATTCCCACGGAAATTGGTTAGCTGCCATGCATTGGCACACACTACAACATGACCAATGATCATTTTCAGTGTCTGTGCATGTAAGACTATCGATTTAAGTGTCTGAAGCTTGCGTCACAAGTTTGTCACAAAATGTCATCAGGCTCTTGGATTATAACTGGTTTAGAAAGTAACGTCAAGACAAATGGAGAACAAAAAGAACTTCTTTCCATAGTAATAGTGCCTCAATTAGTTTTTTCCAGGACATGAAAACAATTTTTTGTTCTGAAACAAGAATAAGATCATAAAGCTTGTAGTTTTGTTTACCTTAATACTTTTGAATCTCTCGAGTCAATGATAATAGATATTGTTTAATAGGGTTTTTCCTGTGTTTGTTTTAGACATTGGCTCACACGCTGCAAGCAATGGGTCAAGATGAAGGGGCGTATCAGCAGTATATTCCTCTCGCTTTGTTACTCGCAGAAGAGCATTTCTTGAAGCATCCTAGCAGAGATGTCCAACTTCTTATTGCATGTTGCATTGCCGATGTGCTCCGAGTTTACGCACCAGAAGCACCGTACAAAGATACAGAGCAAGTTAAAGTAAGTGCCTGTCTGTCATTCTCATAGATTAAAGTTGGTTGTCAAGGCCATAGCCAAGGGGTATAGAAGAGTTCTATCTGCTCTCTCCATCTTATCTTTTTCCATACTCATTCTGATAAATTTTAATTACTTTTCCTCACCATCAAATCATTAACTGAGCAGCATATAAAAAATATTGTACAAGTTAACTCTATTACAAGGCTCTTACTCCTTTGTAGTACTGACCATTACTATTCTCAAGAACTGAATTTTCATTCACTCATCACAGTTTATCTTACATCAAAATCTTCCAGGCCCAGGCAATGTCATAAACTTGATTTGAATAGGAGCACTACAAAGGGGTAGTCTCAATTATTTCAAACTTGAAAAGCTAAATATATGTTTTGGAATTTTCAAGAGTAATCGGACAAAAGTTGGCGAGACTTCAAAATTGCCTTAAATGGAAATCTTCGAATGAATCCTTATGGAAATTTTACTTCAACAATTGCCAGAAGGTTTTTTCACTTCTCTTTTCTTTTAATCTAATCATACATAATTCAGTAATTTTTCTAATAAACCACTAGACAAGCAACAAAATTAAGCATTCTGATGTATGTTTCCTCTTCAAAATTTCACATATTTACAAGTTCTCATATTTACATTCTGCAAAGACTGTTATGGTAGCGTTTAGTGTGTGATTTAATTCAAGTAGATTATAGTATTTTTATTAGCAGGGAGTTTGGATTTATGCATTGAAAAACGGTAATATCTCTGTGAAGAATTACTTCCAGCAATTTTTGTTGTACCAATCGCGTTTCATCTGAAATTTTAATCTGAAAACATACACTCTAATGCTTAAAAATTTGCATCTTGTCTAGTGTTCCATTGAAGTATGTAAAAAGTTATCTCCAATGTCTGCTTATAATGAATGTGTTTTCTCGTTTAACGTGTCTTATTCATAAATTTCTATGTTTTCCAGACAATTTTTCTGTTCCTAATTAAACAACTTTATGGCCTGAAGGATCCTAAAGATCCTGCCTTCAAGCGCTATTTTTATCTCCTTGAAAATTTGGCCTATGTCAAATCCTTTAATATGTGTTTCGAATTGGAGGACTGCCAAGAGATCTTTTGTCAACTGTTCCAGCTCATGTTCAAAATTGTCAAGTGAGTATTGGTTTTCATTGGAATTGCTTTTCTGTCCAATCTTTTCACAAGGTAAATATTTTTTACCACATTAAAGTATCAGCTATGAAAAAGCTTGTGAATATCTTCAATGAATATCTAATAATGAAAGCCTCCCAAACATGCGCCCAAAAATATTATGCATCTTACTGCAAGCTAGGCCTAGCCTAAATTGGTAGTCAGATAACCACAAAATACAAGTAAATAGTGAAATCTCTCATCCTTTACCAGTCAAGATAGAGAAAATTAAATGTCTAAACTAGTTAGGAGAAGGTGTCTATCGCTAAATAACATCCATTTGCGCAAGAACTGATTTCATTTGAAACTTTGAAATTCTCCGTTGATTCCGCATACTTATTTGTTATCAATGTAATCTTATTTGTTGCAGTGACGAGCATTCAAGCAAGGTGAAAAGCTTCATGCTGGACGTGCTATGTCCCCTAATAACAGAATCAGATAATGTGTCTAATGAGTTGCTGGACATCATTCTTATCAATATCGTTGAACCCAACAAAATTACCAGCAAGAATGCTTATTGTTTGGCCAAAGACCTTGTTATCAAGTGCAGTGATACACTTGAACCCTACATTCAGGCAGTAAGTCTCTTCAAATTTTTATCGTGAGCTTTAGTTGGAGTTTATAGTTTGCACTTTTTCACCCTATCACTTAAAATGTTTATATTATGTTCATGCTTAGAACTAAAAATTGATCCAACTGAACTTATCCACAAATAAAGAAACTCAAAATAATCATTATTCTTCCACATACTTCAATAGAATGTTACCAGCATACTCTCATTAGAAAACTCTACTACTGCTGGGATTAATGTGAATATAAGTGTAATGTATGAGCCTCCAGGCATTGTCAAATTTCTCTTCAGAAAATCCTAATTTTCAGGGAAATTAGTGCATACTTTAGTGCCAATTTTTCAAAGGATTCTATTCGCAATTTAATCTAAAGTGTCCGCAAATTTCAAGACAACATACTCAAAAATTCCCTCCAAAATCAGGGAAAGAACCACAGAGCATGAATTGCAAGTGTACACAGAGCAAGAGTAGCGTTTCCTGAATCGCTTTTATGAGTACAGTAATTATCGGATCGCGTTTTAGCGGATTCCGGGTTTTAATGGATTCGTCCTCCGGTCCGGTGAAATCTGACAAATCGAGGTCTTACTGTATTGAAGAATATCTTTGTTTGTCAAGTTTTCAGCCGTGACTAAAGTATCAAGAATATATAGACGTAAAACCAAGTCCCAAGACAAGTAGTTTTTATTACTTCAGTCTTTCCTAGCATTTTGTGGATAAATGTAGCTTGTTATTTTAATCGGACAGGGTAAGATTCTTTTACGGAAAGGCAAGAAGTTCAGGTACACATCAAAACCTCCAAGAAGACTGCACGTTGTTTAAGAATCCAGCTCTTTTCTTCGATCCTATTGTGTTGAGTAATATTGAGTCAGTGTTCCTCACACGCTAAAGATTTCTTTTACGTTTTTTCTTTCAGTTTTTCAATCAAATGCTCATGATGAGCAAAGAGGATCAAAAGCTGGGAATCAGCTCTAAAGTGTACGAGCTGATATATGAGCTGAATAAAATCTGCCCAAGTGTTTTATTAGCAGTGTTGCCGCAGTTGGAATGCAAATTGAAATCGAGCCTTGATCAAGAAAGACTGAATGCTGTTTCACTTCTAGCACGAATGTTCTCAGAAAAAGATTCTACTCTAGCCAAGACGCACCATCAACTTTGGCATGCTTTCCTCGGCAGGTAAGAGCCCTATATTGTATCCTCAGAAAACAACTACGTCTATGGAGTTAAGATTTGTGATTGTTGGCGGAGTGAAGGTGGATATTATAGGGTTGCCACAAACAGGGAAAACTGGGAATCGTATAAAAACAGTGAGAACTTAGAAATGCCAGGGGAAATGACAAAAGTGCTGGAGAAATAGTATTAGGTTATCTTTATTCGCTCTATAATGAATCCACTGTTTTGAACAAGAAATTTGGCATGAACTCCATTTCAAATTATGTCTTTTAACCATCAAGCGTATCCTCAATTGTCAGGAAATTCTAGCAAAATGTGTCGGGGAATTTCATTTTCTAAATTCTGTGGTTACCCTGTATTGAGGTGCACCTAAAGTTTTAATATTTTGGATACTTTATTTACCTTTCTTTTCCCTTCTGTCTCAGATTTAATGACATCAGCGTTCAAATTCGTATAAAGTGTGTGCAGTATTCAATGCACTTTTTGCTGAATCACCCTGAGTTACGAGCCGATATCACGGAAACTTTGAAGTTGCGCCAGCATGACAGTGAAGAAGCTGTGCGTTATGAAGTAGTCATGGCCATTGTCAGCACCGCTAAGAAGGACTTCGAAGTAGTTTCTGACAGTGAAGATCTTCTTGAATTTGTCAAAGAACGTACGCTGGATAAAAAAGTGAGTTGTTGTCATTTACTGTTTTAAAATCCGTTTTTGAGAATTCTAGATAGACAGTAGTTACGGATGTGGAAGATTTGAAAGTCTTCACCGAAGTTTTTTGAATCTCATGATAGCTCACTTATGCTTTGTGATGTTCTCTGGAAGGGCTCCTGTCTCTATAGGGGAAAGTTGATAGTTGCTTCTCGTTATTAGTAGAACACACCAAGAGGCCAATTCAAATTATGGTTGCAGTTTGGTGTTCATTGTCAAGAAAGTCCTCAGATTTTAAACCCCATCATATCTTTGTTTTGACCGCTCTTATCTCAATTTATTAAGATGTGGAATTACGCAATTTTTCATAGTTAATTGTTTTTGGAGGGGCATCTAGATAAGCTGTAATTTCACTGTTTCCCCTTCTCTTATGCTGAATAATCCCTTTGTAGAGAGAGTTGAGATGTTTAGGGTCCATTTCTGATGAACACTTTTTGCTCAATCTCTGACTGACCTGCATTAGGTCACAAATGATCTCCAAGATTGTTTCAAAAATTACAAACCATACTTAACAAATTGTACCTCTAAAATAGCTGACTAACTCTGGAAATCTATAACATCTTGAATCATATCTAGATTAGGTTTACTTGAGGTATGTTATCTTGGAGCTTGCCATCTGAATCCATGTTTCATCCAGGTCACAGTTTGGAATAGATTGTCGAATAATGTGATTGTGATGAAAAGATATTGTCAGAAGCTTTTTAGGAAAGGTCCTTTACTGGAATAATAGACGATTCAAAGGCGTTCTTGCAAATAATTACAATATAGTGGGTGTGAATTTTTACTTGGACAGCTTTTGGACGGGATGTAATAGAAACGAAGGTGGAGGTTAGGTTTACTTGGGTTCCATCTTCCTTTCCCCCTTGATAACCGGTCCTTGTGCATTACGCTTTCTCCCTATTTGACAGCCATTCTTGAGGTTTAGTTCGTTGACTAGAATAGACCAGAAAAATTAGGAAATTGGAAAAAGGAATGGGAAAATGAATATGTGAATCAGGTAATCTTTGTGACCATTAATGATTTCGGGACATCTTAGGTTGTCTCAGGTTTTCTTAGAAAAGAAGTCTATTGCAGAAAGTTAGATTGTGCATCTCTTCCCCAAAAATCAGTACGCTATTTTGATTTTTTGATACTCAAAGAAGAATCTCATTGAAAGTACATCTTTAATTTTCAGTTCAAAATTCGTAAAGAGGCAATGACAGGCTTGGCAATGATATATCGACGACATTTGAATGATGCAGACGTCCCTCAAGCAACTAAGAAGGCTGTTACTTGGATTAAGGACAAAATTCTCCATGGCTACTACATGACTGGCATGGAAGACAGGTTAATATACTTTTCATAATGAAGTGTCCAAGTTTTGATGCAGTTTCCTGTGGTGTCAAAATCTAAAAAAACTTAAAAAATGTTTAAGTATTGATTGTGATGGAAGAATAGCGCTGGGTTCATACTATTCTGCTGGGAAATCAAGGCCAAAAAATTCCAAAAGTTTCAATTAGAGTAAAAGATTTGTAATCTTGCCCTGATACCCATTTGAGCTCATGTCTTTTAATTTAATCGAAATTTCTGGAATTTTTTGCCTTGATCTTGCTAATTAAAAAAAACACACATAATTCTGTCTCGTTAAGATTTTCTACGAGAGGCATTCGTAAAGTAAGTATATATCTTTATTTTCTCCGAAACTAATGAAAATAAATTAAATCGGTAAACACTGTTTTTACCGCCATACTCTCAGCTTTTCAAAAAGCCTTCGTTTTTTAAATTTGGTTTACCGGTTCGCAAGTGACGTCATTTTTCCTGCGCCCATCTCTCGTCACTGCGTGTCCAAAATATTCGAATGCGGCGGAGCTCCTCAGACGAGTACATGCTACGGTGTTTTGGGACGCTCAAGGAATATTACTGATCGATTTCTTGGAGAGAGGAAAAACGATCGATGCCGCAAGATATTGTGAAGTTTTGAAAAAAATTAAGTCAGCGATCAAGCGAAAACGGCCCGGTCTTTTGTCTCGTCAAGTGTTGCTCCTTCAAGACAACGCTAGGCCTCATGTGGCTCATGTGACTCAAGGCTTGTTCGCCTCGTTCAAATAGGACCTTTTTCCTCATCCACGGTACTCACCGGACTTTCCTCCAAGCAATTTTCATCTTTTTCTTGCGTTAAAGAAGAGCTTGGGTGGCCAAAAGTTCTCCACCGACGCAGAGTTGCAAGAAGCTGTAAAAAAAAATGGTTCCAACGACAGGATGCGCAATTTTTTGAAGATGGAATCCGCGAACTGCTAACCTCGGTATCAGAAATGTGTTCAACTGGGTGGAGATTATGTCGAAAAGTAAGGTAAGACAATTCAAAGCCTGAAAGTTTCACATATGTAACCAATTAACTGTGTTACAACCTTTTTTACGGTGAAAACATGTACTCGTCTGAGGAGCACCGCCACCGCCGCGCTCGAATATTTTGGACACGCAGTGTTGAGAGATGGGCGCGGGAAAAATGACGTCACTCGCAAACCGGTAAACCAAATTTAAAAAACGAAGGCTTTTTGAAAAGCTGAGAGTATGGCGGTAAAATCAATGTCTACCGATTTAGTTTATCCTCATTAGTTTCGGAGAAAATAAAGATATATACTTACTTTACGAATGCCCCTCGTACATAGTCAGAATCTCCCCTCCATCATGGACTTTTCCAGAAAGAATGTAATTTGCTGAAAAAGTGATGCGTAACAGAAAAAAGGAAGGTCATTTTTAGATTCAGCTAAAAAAAGTGCATATATACCTGCAAATGCATTTACAAATGCCTTTAAAGTTTGCCCTCTTCTTCGCTTTGATTTGTGTCACAACCTAGTTATCTTATGTTTTTCGAGTAAATTTCTGTACCTTTCTTATTACTTGTTGCTTATTTCAATCCTTATCTATTTCATCTGACCTAATTTCATGCGATTGCAGGCTTCTTGTGGAGAGACTTCTGAATACCTCTCTTGTACCGTATCAACTCCCTGTTGAAGAAAGAATGAAGAAATTGTATCATTTATTTGGAACTATCGATGATCATGCAACTAAGGCTTTTATGGAACTTCAAAAATATCAATTGGCGTAAGGACTACTTTCATTTGTTCATCCAAGCATTTTACTGTGAAATCTTTTATTCATTGCACGATTTTTTGAACAAATTATATTCACAAATAACAAAATATTAGACGAAATTAAATAGCCTATGCTTCAATTTTTATGCAAATTTGAGTGAAAACGGCGACACTTTGTGCATCGTGTTTGATTGATCTGTATAATATTGTCCACATACATTCCTTTTTTTTATTAAAGCTCCACTGGCTTTACTATGTTTTCTGTGTTTACCGTTGTGTTTTTATTTATTTTCTAGGATACGAAATACTGTGAAAGATTGGTTGGAACTGTTTCGAAGACCTCAAACATTAGAAAGAGACAAAGAAATTGCTGCTCGTGTCATCACACTAGCCAGATTTTTACCTGAGCCAATCAAAGCTCAAGAATTCATCGGCAAACTTTCGGCAAATCTCATGAAAGATTCAGCACTGTTACTTGGTAAATATCTCCAATCAGCAATATTTATGTTTTAAGACAAAGTTGAAAAGTTGAAAATCAGGAATTTATAGTTTCACTTCCGAGGTAAAGTTTCTTGTTTTTGTGAGAACCCAAAGGGTGTAATTACAAGAAGAGAGGGAATGAGCTCAAAGAATCTGGCTTTTTTCTTCCTGACTCAAAACTTCCTTTCAAAAAGTTCTTTTCCCCGATATTCAGAGATTTCTAACCTTTGAATTGTCTTGCCTTCGAAAAATTTCAGATTACTCTTGTGGAAAACCTTGAATTAATTCACAGTAGAAGTTTGATGAAAGGGGAACTTCCCAACTATCTGTAAAAGAGAAAAGTCTGCTTAGCCTTTCTTGGTAAGAAGGCACAATTTCAAGCTGCATTCTCTGAAGTTCTCTTTTTTTTCTGTATGCACATGGTGTATATAACATCGCAAGTTTTTTTTTTTTTTTTTTTTTTTTTTTTTTTTGCTGATCTCTAACCACTACTTGTTAAAACATGATTATCTGCGCTACAAGGAAATGATCCAGTGTTGGCTTGGTTAGGTTTAAAAATTAATCATCCTCTAATACTTAAGCGTATATCTAATGTTTAATTGATTTCTTATCCCATGTTCAATCAGGAATGGAGGCTGTGGTTCGACCGGATATTTCTTGTAAAGAATGTGCTGAAACAACCACACTAATTTTGAAAAAACTGGGACAACCAATCATGACTAACTTGTATTACAATGCTGTCAAGATGTTGCTGGAAAGAATCTCATCCGTGATGATCGACTCACAAGCAATAAAGGTACAGTTTGTTCAGGCTTTTATCCGCTTTTCTCTTCTTCTCCATTAAATTATACTTCAGACGTACGGCAACCAGTTTAATTTAAATATCTTGATGGAAATGAATGTAATGATGGCTGCTTATGATAATTTTACTCAAGTCTAATTGATCCGTTTACTTAAAACAATGGCTAAATGCAAAAAATATGTACTGCAATTGCAACATTCAAAAATTTCCAACTATGTTTTATTTTCTTGAAGGAAAACTAATTCACTCGTTTCCTTACAATTTTGTGTGATTTTCCATTAAGAATGAGTGCAGAAATTCACATTCACAATGGAAATTGTTTTACAATTTTGTGTGATTTTCCAATTACTTAGAATGAGTGCAGGAATTCACATTCACAATGGAAATTGTTGGTCAGTTTTTCTTCAAAAGACTGAATCATGAACGGTAACTTACATTGTGGTAATTGTAAGTGAAAAATTACAAATTTTCATTGAAAATTTAGTTCTGATTTTAAAAATAGTAGCAGTAAGTTCTTTTTTTTCTTTTTCTTTTCTTTTTTTGCATGTTAAGATTTGTGGAATTTGAACAGAGCGAGCATAAGATCCTACATGACAAAGTGAGTGTGGCATAATTCATTAGCTCTAGAGATAACTTTAATTTCAATTACTAACAATTCTATTTCTTTCTCTTTTTATCAAGGTGCTGGTTGGATATGTCGAAGATTGTTTGAAAGGTGGAAATCTCATCGATGAACTTGGACTGCACCCAGGTGCCGCAGGAGAAAGAGGTCTCAAACTCCTTGTGGTAAGTGCGAGTATCGATCCACGTTTTAGTCTCTAAACCATAAAAAAAGCTGAAAATCAGCAGAATGGGTGTCCAAAGTAGGGAGTCTGACTGCTATTTTTACCCATTACGTCAATCTGTTGGGTTTCTTGACCAATAAAATTTATACAACTTGACTCATTTCGGCTCAACTACTCTTTTCCGCTCTCTCCAAAAACTCTAATAAGTATTTGGTAGGATCCTCTTATCATTTCTGTCTCCTAAAGGACTTTTTTCCTTAGCTTATTTAAAAGCCATGAGACATTCCGAACCTCCCTACGTCATGAAGTCCTCTTTCAATAGTTTGTTCCAGGGCAAAATCATTATTGACATGGACCATTAAAATAATCAAAGAATCAACTCAAGTTATGGAAGTGTCCCCCTAAAAGGCCGTTAAAGTTAAAAATGGACGCGTTGAGCAGAAAAGAACCAAGCCACATCAGCTATTGCCAAATTTAATTGGGTAATTTAATTTTTTACAGGAAAACAATTGTGCGGATTTTTGTGCAAATTTTAGTGAATTTTCTGCATGGTACGAAGGAAATTCCTTAAAATTTTCCAAAGAATTCACACAAACGTTCTCTTGCAAAAAATTAAATTGCCCAGTTAAATTTGGCAATACCTGATGTGATTTGGTTCCTTTCTGCTAAATGCTGTCCAAATAATCAGGTATATTTTACACACAGCTTTGCTGAGAGAGCTTTGATTACTGCACTTTCCCTGCGCAGTAAAGAAATTTTTAATTTTAGCCTCAAATATCAATGTTCAGATTTTTTTCTTTATGTTAAACTCAGAACACCTTGTATACAGGAAGTGAAGTTTACAACTCGTCTTCTTTTCCCTCCTTTTTGAACCTTTTATCGATTACATATCTGTCATTATTTCAATAGGATATGTTCGGAAATATTTTATCCTGTATCATCATTTGATTATTTTGTTTTGATTTCAGATGCTGTCCTACGTATTCCCCTGCCATTTTCTTCACGTAGATGTAATCAAACACTTATTCTCCTTCCTCGAAATGGAAGACGAAATTGTAGCCCCTTTCATTCTATCCGTATTAACATTCCTAGGCAAATACAAACCACTGAGTAAGTACAGTTACTTTTTTTCATTTACCGCATGCTCGGAATTTAGATTTCTTACATGTTATAGACTGGATCTAAATTCTCAATATAATTTCCACTCCTAATAATCGCAGGACTTTATCATGTATGTTTGACGTAATGTTTAGTAGTTATATTTATACTGATGGCAAGATGTACATGATATCCAACAGAATCTGGATAGATACTCCAATTAGAATAGGTAGAAAACCTCCATTCATACACTATTGTCTTTAACGCTAAAAGACAATAATAGCAAACCAGAGGAATTTCTCTCAGGAAGTTTAGGGATTCTACTTAACGTTATCCTAGTAATTTTTGTTCTGGCTGACTCAAATGTATTCAAAAATTGATTTTTTGTCGCCCTTTTTTCCGTAGGTGAATGTTTCCCCGAGCAGATGGAAGAATTAATTCCTTTATGCAAGCGTTTCGCTGACTCTGGCACTCCTAAACAAGCAAAACAAGCTATCAGGTGCCTCTTCGTCAATGCAAAAGATAGTGATTCTCTCTTCGCGAGTATCCTCGAGGTAAGAATGTCTGACAAAAATCAACTCCAGCACAGTGTAGCCGTCAAAATAACAGGACCACACTTTGCAATCGGGAATTACAATTTTGGCTTACTTTAGACACAACTCAAGTACCATTAGTTTCCCTTGCACATGGGTGTTTTCCCTGATGAGCCAGAAATGGTTGTCTCTAATTGCAAAATGGAGTTCAAATAAAGGGATGGCCTGCATGGTCCTCTAAAATCAATGCAGGACATTTTGTGTTATGTTCTGTCATACTTGATATCTGTTACAGCTGTTTCCTTTTAAAGACCAGTCTGAAAATTGGGAACTTAATTAATCCATGCACTCATTGCTAAATTTGATTTTCTGTTGATTGAACACAAATCAGTTCTGATGAATTGCTTCGAAACAAAATCTGCTTTTCTTCTTGACAAATGCATTTTGTTTTTCATTTTCAAAGGTTGAAATCTGTCAATACTATAAGTGCTCATTATCCCATACAAAATTGCTCGTTGTTGTGCAAGAATATCAAATACTGTATTTAGTGCTTCTTTTTTTTATCAGCGCTTGGATAAAATTTGCATCAGTTATAAGAATATTAAACTTTATGCTGCAATGACTCTTCTTACAAGCCACTGGACTTGCATAGTGACCAAAGACAGCTAGATGAACAACTTTGAAAAAATAGCGATTTTTTCCTATGGTTTTGAACTTTTCTTTATTAACATCCAAGTATTTTCTTGTAGTTGTGACGACTAGCTCACTTGGTTAGTCAGAGAGCTGAAAAGGTTTGACAGTGTACCGTCATCTGTAATCTAATGTAAGAATGATTTTTTTTTACATTTTCCGCAACACTACATCAGCACAACATGAAACATACCTGTTAATGTCAGAAGAATATTAGCCCCTAGGATGAGCTCATGTAATTTTCATATGTCAAAGAGTTGAATAGGACATTAATTTTCCAAGATAATGATGAAATTGTGTTTTTTTCTACCAACAGAAAGTGAAGGAAAATCTCAGCTCCACCAGTCCACACTACAGGACAGCGATTGTATCTTTAGGTCATATAGCATACAATGTACCAAATAAATTCCCCGTACAATTGAAAAACATAGTCTCAAGAAAAGTAAGTATCTGTCTGTGTATGTCATTTTTGATTCTTCTGAATTGTATTATATTGTTTAACGCAATATATTTCTGCTGTTTTAATTACTTAATGAAAACAAAAAGTAAATAATAGGGCTGTGCGAATATTCGCTTCCTCTGATTCACACACTATTTGCAAATTGCGAATATTCGGGCTGCCGCGAATAGTGAATCTTAGAACCAACATTTTCAAATATTCGTCTGGAATAGCAAATTTTCAAATATTCTAGCTGTCAAAAAAACGAATTTCTGAGTAGCAATCGTGAAACATTGCGAGGACCTGCGCAAGGCTTCCATCCCAGATATCACAAACGGCGGATCTCCTTTGATCTTTACCTACTTTGCCCAGTTTACAAACAGTGCTCATGATTGCGATTGACCCGCGTATCTTGGTTGCTCCAAGAGTACCACACATTGAAAGTAGAATAACCAAGACGGAAAAAGGGAAAAGTTCCCAAACACATTTTCATTAATGCCGAAAAAATAAAATACTAAAAATGTGTCTGGTGATCCTTAGATACTATTTTGACTGCCTGCGCAGCTATCTTCAAATCCTGGGAATGCATACACAACTGCAGGAACAGTCAAGCCAACATCCAGGGATCTTCAAACACATTCTCAACAGCCTAGGCTACCATCATAGCATTTCATTGTTTTCTGTGCAGGTGTATAAGCAAATGGAAAATTTTTGAAAAAATTATTCACACTTATTTGTCAACTTTTGTAATATTTGTGAATTTTTACACTTCAAAAAGTCATATTTAATTACTCGTTTTACTATTCGTAGTTGTGAATAATTGACTTTAATTATTCGCTGTTCGTGAATAATTGGTAAAATTATTCGCGAATCGCTTCGTTTGAAAAATTCACTATTCGCACAGCCCCAGTAAATAATAAATTATAACGTTTAGCTGACAGTTATCACATAGTTTTTTTCATGGGGTTTGTTTATCCATTGAAACATGTATGTTGTTTGCTCAAACTTGTGTGAAAGATCAACTTTCAAGCAACTAAGAAGAATGGACCACTAGACAAGGTACGAATTTAAGCATTCTGATACATGTTTCTTAACCAGAATTTCACGTAGAATACAATTTGCGCAACGAAAATTACTGAAACCAACTCCTGACGGAGATATTAACATTTTTATTTCACATTGGTTACAAGGAATTTGAACTGCCCGCTCACAAGAAACTCAAAGCTCTACGTGAGTCAAATCGCGCACTATAACGATTTCAGCAAGCTTCTCAATCGAGTGATGTTCATCTCCCACCATGTGTTTTTCAAACTATCAGTAATTTGCTATAGCTTAATCAAAGTGTCAAGATTGATGGTTGTCAGATTTTTTTATCGCAGAGACTTTCACGATAACGTTAAGCGCGCGATGTGAATCACGTAGAGCATTGAGTTTTGGTTTCAATTCACACACCAAGAATCATTAAATATCTTCGGAAGGAGTTGACTTCGGTAATTTTCGTCGTGCGCATCGTGTTTTACGTAAAATTTTGGTGAAGAAACATGTATCAGAAAGCTGAAATTCGTACCTTGTCTAGTGGTCTATTATGTCCTCTCATCCTTTCAAAACAGCCGCTTAAAACTCAAGTGGTACCTTAGTCAAGGTATGAGACTTCTTTTCATTGGATTTCTGAACAAAAGCTTTTATGTCAATTAGGTATTTTGTCGAATACGTCTCATTTATAAATTCTACAAATATTTAGCAAAGCATTGCTGTTCATTTTACTGATTTCATCCTTGTACTTTCAGATAGTTAAAGAGCTTCTTGTGAAGGAGATAGAAGAAGGTAGTGACCACAGTATAGATGGAGATTGGTGTTCAGAAGATGATCTCCCGGAACAAACTAGGTGTAAGGTATGTATCTCACATTATTCGTCTCCTTTCTCAGTTTAATCAACGTCAGGCATAAATGATCCAAAGTGGATGGCTCAGTTATAAGTTCCATGTGTTTTCAGAGCAACAACTGAAGGCTAGTTGATCTTGTGACAAACATTCTTGGCAAGTTGAGTTGTTTTATTACTACCAAACATTCAACTGATTACCTAGAATGTTTTACTAATGAAGCAGTTAGTAGTTTGAGTCGTTGATTTTTTAAACGATTGATTGTAACCTAGTGTGTATAGCATATAAAAGTGACTGTCCAAATGATTCCATAATATCCTCCATTCACCAATTACTTGAGTGCCTTTTTTGAAGAAAAATTGGACGGATTTTGGCAGATTCAGCCTAACTACATCAGACATTACCTAATTTTCTCTAATGTCTTAATTTTTAAACAGAAAACTAAGTAAAACTAAAACTTGAAAGTTTGTTAGTATTCTTTATCACCTAGAGTGAATTCTCTGAGATTTAAGAAGCCCTAAGTAGTTCAGCTCTCTGTCAAAAACATTAAAACATTAGAGAAAATAAGGTATTGTGAAATCCAGTTAGGCTAAATTGGACAACACTTGGCAATTAAAAACTACAACATCTGACTCATCCATAAAAATACTTTGGTGCATAAGGAAACTTCTTGTACATACATTGTTTCTGAACTGTAGCTCCAAATTGCAAAATGTAATTCCATTCATCCAGCTGTACAGTCTCTTAAGAATTCTGAGTGATAAGAAGGAAGTACAGTGAATCCAGAGTGCTTTCACACCGTGAAAATTGTCTAAAAAACTGCCTCATGAAGACTGATTGAAGGCTAATATGCATATTGCACAACACAACAAGCAAATTTTCACTATTGAATATCATTCACCGTTGAATGATATTCGACGATTATGCATTTTTTTTAATGATATTCAACTTCTTCGTCGATCTCACCGGAGACTGTTGAAATCTATCAATTTAAAATTTTGAATTCACTTCGAGACTTGAATTCTATTTTTGAATTGATGCAATCGATGTCAGAAACTTCATCTTTCACCAGAATTTTTATTTCGTCATTTCTCTTTGTCGTTGTGTTTTGTCTTTTCAAGTCTGCTGTGTTTGCAATTTGCTGCATTTTAACGTTTCGTATTTTTTTATTTTCTTCTTAATTTCATTTAAAAAAAAATCTGAACTCTGATTGGTTCCTGCTTTCACTGATCATCGGCATCTCTCAGCATTTATCAATTTGTCTAATGAATGATATTCGATCGCCAAAATTTGTTTAATATGTGGGAAAGTTTTATACAATATTCATATTTATAAGAAAGCTTTAAAGATGCCGGAACGGAAGAGAACGGGCGAAATGAAGAGAAAGGGCGAAATGCATCAGCTAGTAAACATCAAAGTAAGCACTTTTGGCATATTATTAAATATCGCATTCATGAAGACTTCCTCTTTTACACTGTTGCCTTTTGAGTAACTCCAGGACTCCGAGAATGTTGAGAATGTTGCAGGGTTACAGTGATAAAGAGGGATTCCAGGATCGTCAATCACGTTTGATCTTTTTCACAGTATGCCAGCATTACAGCTGTAATATGCTCGCTTCTTTGTACTAAGAATGTTTTCATGTTGAACTTTGTTTTACAAGCTTCTAATTTTGTGTGTTTCGTTTGATCCCGAACAGAAAGAGGGCCTGAAAACAATGGCCAGATGGCTCCTTGGTCTCAAAGCTGACAAAGTTTCAGCGCAAAAAACTTTCAGAATGTTGAATGCATTTGTTACAAACAAAGGTGATCTTTTACAGTCGCGGAAAATAAGGTAACCATTTCAATTAATTTATTTTGCTCTTCTTTAGTGATAGCAGAATTTGTCTCAGCATGTAAGTTACCAGGTCGAGAATGTTATGTTTAACCAGAATTTCTGTGGAATGCCAAACTGCAATTTCAGATAACCGTTTTTTCTTCTTTTTTTTAATGAAGTAACTTTGAGGAACAAATTTTTTGCAGCTTATCGCGCAGTTAAACTGACTTTTGTCAAAATCTGTTTTCCCATCCTTTTTTAATCCAGCCAAACCATCTATTTGTAGTCTATTCCTTGAGACCTCTAATGGACTTACTTCCTGAGGTTATTTGTAGGCTTCAAAACTTTTTTCAACAGTAATTTCGACAATACCACAGTTTACATAAAAGCCAAGGCTTTTCAAAATTATTGGAGCCGCCATGAGATGGTTTGGAGCTTATCTTCTGAGACTAGTGACACCTTAAAAACCTATTTCTCAGGAGGCTTTGTACTAGAAACTTACATCGCTGATTTATAACTTTTTTTTTTTTTTTTTTTTTTTTTTTTGGGACAAACCCATTATTTGGAATAAATTTTGATCTTTCTCTCTCTTCTTTCAATTGGAACAGTCAAGCAGAGATGGCTTGGTTACGTTTGGCAGCTGGATGTGCAATGCTGAAAATTTGTGAACAAAAAGGCGTTGGAGATCAGTATTCCCCAGATCAGTTTTATAAATTATCTCATCTGATGATTGTAAGTATTTATAGATACTTTTTTCTTTATCCATGAATCTATTTGCACTTTTCGCTTTTTTCTCTCTCAGTCCATACTATATGAGTGAGCTTGTAATGGACAATTCCGAATATAAATATCTAAGGTTCTATCTAGCCAATGATGCGAACCATCGCATGAACATTCCTATTCACAAATTTTATCTGTATAAACGATTCTACAGCTCAAAGCAGCAATTTTCTGATGCTTTCGTAGTGTCATTTCAGTTCCTTTTATCGAGTCGCCTAGCCTTCGGACCAATAATGTCTGGTGTTATCCTCACAGCAAACCCAGTGAATAAAAATTTAAAATAATTTTTTTTGTCCGTCAATAATCACCTAAACATAGCATTCTTCATTATTCTAGGATGAAGTGCCGAAAGTACGAGAAATATTCACAAGTAAACTTCACAAAGGCCTTTGTCGTGGTCTTCCGAACAAAAGTTTACCGCTCGACTTCATGGGCTTTTACGCACTAGCAGGATATGAACAAGATAAAAAGCTGAAGCAAGCTGCCAGGCAATATATGGGCACAGATATCAACAAGCGAAGAGAGTATGCCAAAAGTCTCACCCAAGGTTCAACAGGTAATGAAAGACTTTTATTGAACTCTCTGGCTTCAGAAAAAAATCCATAGAATAGATAGATGATTCATGAAATGAAAGATGATCTAAAATTTCTTTTTAAATCCACAACAAGTTTTGAATATCCGTTTTTTTGGTTTACTCAGACTGAAAAAACCATTAAATTGAATATTTTTGTAAAATTGTTTATCATAAAAATTTTAGTATACGTGAAAAGATAGTATTTTCTGGGATCAGAATAAAACTTGTTGTATCCAAGTTCATCAAATCGAAGTTTAATTGCAAACCAAATATTTTTTGTTTTCAAAACTGGAAACTGCATGTTTTTTGTGAAAAAAATGCAAAACCTAATTATTTTACTGAGGAGCTCAGAAGTGAAAAGAAGCATCCAGCCCCATAAGTTGAATCCATAGAAGCAAGCATCCATAGGAGTAAGCAAATACTGACTGACATCAAAGAAATTTTTCTGAAATGCTGCTTCCCTTCTAAAATTTTGTCAAAAAACAGATCTATTTCTAATGAATCGTTCAATTCAACTAATCCAATTCTAATTCCTGTTTGCATACTTTCAGCTCTATGAGCTTTTGAAATAAATTCCTTGGCAAGGAACAATTGAAATGTGCCTCCAGGCTCAATGAATCCGTGTTTTGCCAACAAGTCAAAGTGGAACCGGTAACTCAGCAAAATGCAAATGATACATCGATGCTTTTTTAATTCCAGTGTATAGAGCTCCCGCATCGTATGTTGAGACAAACGTCAAAATGATCCGACCTAGCACCGGTCACCGTCACCGACCAACATAGGCCGTTGTTTACCTTCCTACGTTCTTTCCTGAAAACGTTGGTCATAAACAAACAGATTACCTTCATTTCTGCAGTCTGAATGAAACTGCTAGCTTTTAAAGGAATATTAAATTATTTACCTGGCAAATTCCTTGTGAATTTTCGGAAAATAAGTAATCAGTGTTGTCTTTACTGCAAAATTCCTTTGGTGTGACATGTATAGTGATGATTAAATGTGGATGAAGTGTGGAGTGAATGGCAATGTGATACGATGCTGGAGCGTATGGATAAGTTGTATGATTCGGAATTTAGTTTCTATTTCTAGTAAGTACTAACGTAATTATACAGACTGGTTAATGTAGGAATTGCAACTGTTTGACGCGGGCAAATAAAATTTAAATTAAAGAAAAAATTAAGAGAATTTAGCAAAATAATTGGAAGGAAAATGTGAATTTGATAAGACACTTTAATACGTAGAAAGCACCATGATATATTTACAAATGTATGCACTTTAAATCACTTTCAGGCTGCATCACTATCATTCGGAAGAAAATGAACCCCTTCCATAACTTCATCCGGCTCATCTGCGTCACTATCCCCATTGTCATCATTGTCGTCGTAGTCGACTGTTTCTCCTACCTCCGCTGGCTCATCTGGGTCAGAATCTTCTTCACTTGAGTCTTCGCCTAGGTTGATGATGAAGCGGTCCTGCAATTCATCGACAATGACATCTTGGTCCCTGTAGAATTGCTCGAATCTTTTAGCCCGTTCGCAGCGCTTCTTCCAATCCTCCACAGTGATGGTCGCAAGCTTTTCTGTGGCTAGTCTATGGACTTCTTTCATTGTGAATTGTACATTCTTTGCTGCAACATCATCCTTCAGAAGAGCCCAAATTTTTTCTATAGGGTTCAAATCTGGGTGATAAGGGGGTAAGCGTAATATCACATGACCGTGCTCCTGTGCTATTCTGTCCAGTGCAAATGTTTTGTGAAATGGCTTGTACAATTTCACTAACTTGTACAGGTCAGGTTTGACCATAGTTTCTTCCCACGGTATGCCTTTTGCTGTTAGCCACGCTTGCATTTCCCCCTTTCTACTATTACTTGTTGGCGCCGGATCTAGTTGCTTGTTGTGGTACGAAGCATTATCGATGACTATCACACTTCTGGGCGGAACATTGGGAATCAACTTTTCACGAAACCACTTGGAATAATTCTCCCAGTTCATTTCATCATGATAATCTCCACTTTGTGTGCCAGAGATCCACATTAGCTCAGCGTTAGGTATGAACCCCATTTCACCTCCTGCATGGACGACAATTAAGCGCTTTCCTCTGCCAATTGGCTTCATTGCTCCCTCCAAGCTTCCATCACTCCACGCGCTTGGTTTAGTGTGTGAGCTGTTTACGTACGTCTCATCGTTGTAAATAATTGGGCGACCTTCTCTCCTGTAAACTGCTATCTTTCGAAGGTACTCTACTCGCAGCAATCTAACTTCATGCTTCTCTATTAAAACCTTACGGTTGTCGACACTCTTAACCCACTTGAAGCCCAGCTCCTTTACGATTTTCAGTAAAGTGTTTGCGCAACATTGCAGTCCGAGTCTCTCCTCGATCAGTGGCTTAATCAGAGCGATGGTGGGCAGTCGCTTATCCGTCTTGTGAAAGTTATAGATTATCCTTCTAATCGCAGCTCTGTCAAAATCATCGATATTTGATTTGAAGACGGTTTTTGGGCGCTTCTTCCCCGGTGTTACAAGTTCCTCCACTGCCCCATATTGCACTGACTCCCGCTCTTTCAAAGTACGATTTAATGAAGCCTTCGAAATTTTTGTTGCCTCACAAACGCGTTTTTGTACCGCACTAACATTGTTTGAAGCACCGGCTTGCTTCTCTGCTTGCATGTAATCATACACATTTAGGATTACCTCTTTGGTCTGGGACCTTAGAGCTTTGCCGTGTCCTAACTTAGACATTTTTCAGCAGCGGAAGAAAGGAAGCACCATTTCCCAATGAACAACACATGCACAATACAGAAAAGAAGAAATAATGCAATCAATCACCAACTAAATTAATTTTCCAAAAAGAATTACACTTTTATACCAGCTACAAGATTTATAGAAGCTTGCAGAAAACAGGAAAAAACAGGAAAGTTTTTCTGTGATTTAATTGGCTCGCATGCATAGACATGTTCAAACCTGAAGCACGTGTATCCTGCTACTTTGATCATTATAATTTCAGTGTCATAAGAGTGAAATTAATTTTCTTGCATATATTTTAAGATGAATAAATATTTTGCTCTAAAAATTATAGAAAACGCATCAAGCAAGTGGTTTCTACCTGCTTAATGCGTTTTCTGCCCAGCAATTACCGGTCCATACCAACGCAATTCGAATTTGCCGCGCGAGTCGGCGACTCGGTGATATTTTCATGTTGGCTAGTACAGAGTTGTTGACCGTTGTCGCTGTCCGGTGCGGCATCGGCGCTACTAACCGGTCTTTGACGTTTGTCTCAACATACGATGCGGGAGCTCTATTTACCCTAAACCCTTCAGCGTAATCAATTTTCAAGTTGTTACCCCTCCCATGACTGACATGATTTTACGATTCTTAGTTCCAGTAGATAAAGCAATGGCTCAATTACCACACATCCTGCCAGATTATATGCTTGTCTTTGCGGTCCCAGTACTCACACACTGTCCCCTGTTTGAGTCACGTCACGACATCGAACAGCTTCACGCTGCTCGCACTTGTCTGTGGTTCATTCTAGAAGCCCTCATCGTCAAGAATGAGTCTTATTGCTACGGATTTTACAAGGAGCTTATCGACAAAATGAAGAATCATGTTGATGCCTGCTGTATAGATGACAATGTTAATGAGGTATGTCTTCCAATTCTTTTTTCTAGTATTCGTCTGTTCAGTATGATGGGTTCTTCTTCTTTCATTATTTTTTTGCTCTCCTATTGTTTATTTTATTTTTCAAGGGCGTATTTTTCATTTTTCAACCTGAATGACAAAAATTCCCAACTTACCCAGAACTGGTGGAAAAGTTTCAACCAGAAAGGAATTTTGTTTGAGTTCAGTAGTTTTGTCAGAGCTCTCCATGACAGTAGTTATGGCAATATTGCTGTTATTATAACGTTTTTGTCAAGATGGAAAGCAAGGGGCGGTTACTGAAACTATATTGGCATGACATGATAAGACAAAGCCTGAGCTCGAGATTGCGATGTATCCCATGTGGAATTCTTGTTGCATCAGTGGCCTTGGCCTGTAGTTGCCGGCGTGTGCATTTTTTTTCTTTGTAAATTTTTTCTCTCTCATTCCAGAAAATGTGGGCACTGTGTGATCTGGCCCTTGGAACAATCCTCGCTCGGACAACAACTTTCGAGATGAAAGATTTCCCTGCTGAACCTAGAATCACTGCCATGTACTTCAAGAAGCCTGACGATCCTAATTTCGTCAACACTGCTATTTATCTTCCTCCGGAGCTCCAATATCAGGTATTTATCCAAGTTCCTTCAATACACTTCTACCTATTTCTTTTCCTTTTGAAAAAATAAAAGTCGCTAATTTCTGCAAAGCTATGGATGAATTTTACTTACTTTTTTTGTCTTAACTGCTACCAGTGCCAACAAGAGTGTGCAGCCTTAAGTATCTTTTTGATGTTCACACTGCTTTTAATAGAGTAACTTGTCACAACCTCTAGCTTTTAATTTTTGATCAAATTCCATTCAACAGATTTTCGAGGTGACAATATTTTTTATGGGTCGTTTTGAGTCCTAAAACGTCCATTCATTGCAAGGAGCACTTGACAAAACGTAAATCATATATTTAAAAGAAAGAGGCTAAACTTTTGAAATGTGTGAAGTGGGAAGATTTTTCTTTGTTAGTCCTTCTAGTTGTTGGGTGCTTACAACATATTTGCATGTGACGAAGTCATTAGCACTTTGTTTTACCATGACACATGGGGTTGAATTTTTAAACCGTACAAGCCAATTTAAAATGAAAATAGTTACGGGAGAAGAATTTTATGCTGAATTGAGCAAGAGCTTTTCTGGAGCAGAAAGGAAGGGGTTCAGTTGTTCTAAAAACAACTAAGTTTCAAAGTGATCCAAATAAGAGCCTCCATACTTAATATATTGACACTCATTAACTGTTCTTCAATGTGTTCCAGCAAACAAACCAAAGCAACAGCAAAAAAGGACTGAGTAATATGACAATGAATGCTGCCAATACCACTAAAGTATCCAAAGCTGCCGCCAAAAAGAATGCTGCCGCAGCAAACAACACAGCTGCAGTCAAACCAAATGATGCCAAGGTAAGATTCCATAATTTTATCACATTTATCAATAAATCTAGAATGTTGTTGTAGATATCCACCTCTTTCTTCATTAACAGTAAATGATTGACTTAAATTATTAAGTTTAGAAAGTCTTCTGATAGTTTTGATGTGCAAGTTCGGATTAATGTAATTACTTATTGCAGTGGGGTTTAAAAGGATTTTATCCTTTTCAATTTTGAAGCATGTCTCAACATGGGTAGTGAGCTTTGACACATTACCTCAACGTCAATATGTTTTGGGAACATTCTCTGAATTTAATTGAAATACATTATTTTAAGCATTTGTCATCAAGGCACTTAGCTGGCACAAGAACTAAACTAGGTTAAGGAAAAAGTGATTCTCAGCGAACACCCTTCCTTTGTATATTTGTAATGTTTTAATATTTCTTTTTTGCAGGCTGATAGTGAAAATGGTGAACCTTTACCCAAACGAAGATGTACAGTCAAATCATAACACGTGAAACGGATATCGCTCTAAGTTTTCAACAGTCCTATCATTGAAATTTGTACCTTAAGTTGTATAATTGAGTGTCATCTTCAACCCCGGAATTTCTTTTTTTATTTCGGTCAGTTCTATCAGGAGGATTCAATTTCTTTTTTATAGCGAATGTACATGGAAAGTTACGGTATGGATTGTGCTGTTTACGGTGATAGTTGTTTTGAAGAAGGATCAGGGAATGAAAGTGCGTCTACCTTTATGTAAATAATTTGAATATATCTTGTAACTACACAGACTGTACAGCTCTAGTTTTATTATATTTTTAATTGTACCTAGCAATACGAAAATTTTGCAACCTTATTTTCAGCGACTACTTTTTTATCATTATTACAGCTTCTACAATGACTGAAAAATAGGAAGAACTGTATCTAAGCTTTGTGACAGATTGAATGGGCTACTAGACAAGGTTAAAATTTAAGCCTTATGATTTTTGTTTTCTCATCAAAATTTGATGTGGAACATGACTTTATAACGAAAAATGATTTGAAGAACGTTAGAAATTTGGAAGAGGCAACAAACATCGGAATGCTTTAATTTGTACCTTGTCTAGAAGTCCGTTTTTGAAGACTAAACAACAATTGTTAACGCTAATACATAGTTTCAAACGCTCAAGGCTGTCACAGCATTCAAAACTGTCTTTGTCGGTAACCTCACAAAATGCTGCCAAAAATGTAAATTTACCGAGATGAAGTAGGATTATCTGCTGGATTGGAAACCTCAATGAAGCTGTAGAATTGCCTATTTACAGTTGTTCTTTAGAAAATTTGTGAAATGAAAACAATTTTTGAAATAACTATTTTTTTCTTTTTTCCCACTTCTGTTCTCTCTTTTTGCTTCCTTGCTCAACTTGAGCATCTGTAATCTTAATATTTTGAAGGTTTGCCCCTACACTAATTGCTCTTAAAATGAGTTTATTCTCTTCTCCTTTTCCATTTCGGATGTGTTTTCTTAAAAGAATTTTTAAATATTTTAATAGTTGAACTGATGTTTCTTTCAAGGGTCCAAGTAACAAAATCAGGTTGCCAGAAAAGGAGGGAAAAGTGTGCCATTTAACGTGCGTTCAATCTTGTAAGAAAAGGAGAAAGAAAATAGAATGAATAAGAAGCAAAGAGAAGGAAGAAAATATAAAAAGAGGGAAAGAAAAAGAATAAGAAGTAGAGAAAAGAGGGTAAAAGAAGACAAAGAAGAAAGGAAAGTAAGAAAGACTGAGAAGAAGGAAAGGAAAAGAGGAAAGGAGAAAAATATCAGTTCGATTTCAGAATTTTAAGAATCTAATCAGACTTAAAAAAGTTATTCAGGTTAAGATCCATAATTTCATGATGGAATAGTTGGAATAAATTGAACAAATCGACTGAATTGAATGATGCCCTTGGTTTTAGGTCTCAATTCCTCAGGCTGAACTTCTAGTTTTCTCAAACCTTCTCATGGTTCAGTTGACATAACCTCACATCCTGCTGATTTTCTCAGAGCTTAAAAAAATCGGCATTGTATTAATGTGGTGGCAAATCTTTGAAATTACAGCAACCCCAACTTACCTGTAACTAAAATTACAGAGGCAATGCTCGCTTTCCGGGATATTTTCCGAGTGAAATTAAGCGATTCAAAAACAGATAATGGAACCTAATGATATTAGGTGTGTTGTCGAAGTAAATTGGCAAGGACCGTTCGGAAACAGAATAACTCAATACCAAACGGATTGTTCAACTCAGTTTGAATTACCTGATGATTGACATGCTGAGATAGACATACTCAACGTTTTTACCGAACACTCGACCATCGCCAGAGGTCATTCAAACCTTCGAGTTGCGTTGCGAAAACAAAAAAACTGCGAACCAGTATTGCATAATTGTACTTCGACAACGTATCTTTGCTTCAATGGTGAAGTCATTCACTTTCTATTTCTCCTCTGGGAAAGATCACATCAAATTCAAAAAGGTACAATTCCAATTTAAAAGAATTAAATATATATTACAAAATTAGAAAATTTCAGATTGGAAACTGAAACAAAATATTTATTTCTTGCAATATAAAAACATGAGCCTGCCTTTTCGCAAAAAAAAAGAAAATATTTACATGGCAGAAGTTGCTTCCTGGACTTTTCAAAATAATCCGACCATTATGGTCTGCGTGGTACAAGATTACAATTAAATAACATTCATGAGGGCCACAGGGTGTCTAGCAATATTAAAAAAAACAGTTCCCTGACATTTCCCTGAAAAAAAAAAAAAAACGGCCAAAAAACCGGAGAAAAATGTATTATTCCCTGACAGACGGAAAAATAATTCCTTGACCATAAAGGAAAAATATTCCCTATTTTTCAACATGGTTGAACTGATTAGATGTAAGAATTTTATCATGTTTTAAAAATAAAATATAATAAATAGAGCAAAATATATGGTGCCTAAACCTATGCGAGATATTTTTGCCCCATTTTTGCAATTTAGAAGACATCAGCAGTAGTTCTAGTAGAGATCTCCGTAATAGTAAAATTTGCGAAACAGTTTCCGAAAAATCCATGTATTCCGATTTTCCTGACACGAAAATCGCTTGCAAAATAAAATTCCCTGTCATGCCGAATTTTTGCAGATTCCCTGACGTTTCCCCTGATTTTTCCCATTCGCTCGACACCCTGGCAATTCACTCAAGACTGGAGCTCTCTGATAAGCTTTTCATTCCTTTCGATAATTAATAACTAAAACGGTTTTAACTTGTAAAAAAAGAAGTCTGAGCCAGAGGTTGAAATAAAATATATAGCTCGTATTGCTACGAATTGACGGATTTACTTAGAATCAGATGTTGCCTAATTTTGTCCGTTTCAATTTTTCAACTGAACACAAAGCCATGTTTAAACTTAAAATTTTGTGAGTGTGTTCCTTGTAGTTTAGGGAAAACTCGTAGGAAATTAAGAGGTTCATGTCTCGGTGAAAAAAATCAAACGTTTGAGAAAATTAAAAGTATAAAAACAAAGTCTGGCTCATTCCATTCAAATTTGACAAATTCATGAAAGATTAGGACTTTTCAAGTTTAATCACAGTGTTCCCTCATACTTTTAACATTTATGGACGAGGGCATGTTGACTGAAGTCATTGAACATAGCATTAGATTATTTCTCTTTCTTTGACCACCGAAATTTGCCTTCATTCGTATATTTAAGTCATCATGGATTTAAAACTATTTTCATTTATTAAAAATTTGGCATACCATTCATAGATTTCCGTCCAAAGAACAGAAAGATGTAATATGTTATGGGAAAACTCAAGAGATCCACTATCATTCTCTCTATTTAATAGCGCCACGTTTTATTTCTACGGCTTGATCATTAGATCGTTATGGAATGGTCCTGATCGATAAATCTATATGTCAACGATGCTTTTCATCGATCAAGGTCATTAGATAACGATTCAACAATCAAGCCGCTGGTATTTCTTAAATATCACTGATGGTTCCCTCAAGAGTGATGGAAAAGTCCTTAACAAAATATTTGGAGAAAGCAACACAAAAATAATACTTTTCTTTGAAAGTAAGAAAGAAATGCTGTCGCTCCTTAATAATAGCATTACACAAACACATCAAATTTGAGAATTTTTGCGATCGGAATGTAATTTAGACTACATTCAGCTCTTACAAAAAGATTCAGTAGGCAATCAACAAAGATTCTTCATATTCTAGCCAAATAAAGTGTGACACACACACACACATAAATACAAAAATAATCATCATTCAACAAGATTTATGGTAGGCATTGGCCTTTTCTACCATCTTATCGTTTCTATATTATCAGAATTTGTATGCCGTCACATTTCCGAACATAGACTTGATCAGATTTCTAAAAGCGCTTATAGGTTTCCATTTTTGAAATTAAATTATTTTAGTACCTCTGAAACAGTGCATCAGTTGTGCATATCGCAAACTCATACTTGAATGGTGTAATTCTACAATTAGCAAAAAATGTCAACAGCCATAAATAGAATTTCCACTGGTTATTGTCGAATGACAAAAACTGAGTAATTACTAAGCAGATACGTAATGAATTTGGGTTATGAACATATTTGATTTTTTTTGTATTAATTTACACTATATTCAGTCATTAAAGCAGATTTCTATCGCTTGAAAAATGGACTCACTGATCAATTATATTACATTAAAATCACTCCTGTTATTGAGGAGTCATCTTGAATTTAATGAAAGAAAAGCCTGTCTTGGTTGGTGTAGAGCACACTTGAATCAGTACATTAGAAGGGGCGGAAGTCCATTTATCAAAATAATTTTTGTTGCATTTTTAAACTCTCTTATTTGGTTACCATATTATCCGAGAAAGCAGCGTTTGTCTGTTTCAAAAATTGCAGATGTGACGTAGAAAGAGCATCAAAAATGTAAAAAAAAAACCAGTTTGAAAAATTGGACTTCCGCCCTTTTCAAAAGTACTAATTCACTTGGTTTCTTGATGACTCTAATACCCTCATTACCATAATGACAAAAAGCTGTTCTGAGTAATTGAAAAAAATTAAACAAGAGGAGACCATTGTTTCTTCGGAGATACTTAAAAGCGTCTTCCACCTCCAAAGCCTCCCCTACCACCTCCTCTTCCTCCGCCCCCGAAGCTGTTTCCTCTGCCACCTCCACGTCCACCAAAACCTCCTCTGCCTCCACCGCGGCCACCAAATCCACCACCGCCTCGGCCACCGAAACCACCTCTACCGCCACCGAAACCACCTCTGCCGCCACCAGGACCTCCGCGACCTCTTCCTCTTCCTCCACCTCCTCGCTTCTTTTCGTTGCCTGGAAGGAACATCTTCAGAGGAAGTGTCTTCGCTGGATTTATATACAGCTGCCGTGAAAAAAGGAAGAAATCAGGAGTTAACTAAAAGGTATGGGTGATGATTTCATTGTCAGAGCATTGTCTGTACAGATAAGTAAAAAGAAACAACTTAAATCGGGACTACGGCAGCAAATATTAAAGAGAACACATAAAATAAAATAAAAAGCCCCGGACGGTTCGCAGGGATCACACCCGCATTTTCAACCTGCAAAACAAAGACAATTAAAAAGAAGGACACTTTGAGCCTCACCGCTGTTATTCTGAGACTCGACTGCGAAATGTCTCACGCTTTTTATATTATTTTATACAATCTTTTTATTATTTGCGGCCTCAGTCCTGATTTAAGTTGCTTCTTTGTCAGTGTTTTGGGCCGATTAAGTTGTTTCTTCTATCAGTTAGTAAAAACCGGAAAATATCAGGAAATTTGATGTTAACAGGAAAATTGGTCATTGATCAAGAAATTCTGAGTTGCTCAAGCATTTTCCATTTAGCACGTCCAAAAGTGGAACATTTGATTCAAATCATAAAATATATTGGTTTGTAAAATGAAAAAAGTGTTAATTTATTTACGCAAAAGTAGGTAAATATCAGTTAAAACCTCCAAGAAAATCTAAAATTAAATTTTAGTAGACATCTTCTTGTATTAAAAAAATGGGGATATTCATTTTCAAAAATTTGAAACTCCTTTCGATCTCTCTTCCAGCAAAATCAATATTTTTGTACCAGTTAGCATCAAATCTTAAAATTTTCTGGAAAGAGCCCTGTGCGTTAAACTGAGGGATTCATCGCCAACTAAATTTATTCATTAAAACATATGGTGTATAATTCTCCCCAAATAGTCTTTGTTTCTGTGCCAAAAATTGTTAATTTTTAATGAAAATGATCGTGTAAAGTGTAACAATTGTGTATACAACTCATTGATTACACAAAGTTGTAATGTAAGTGGGAGAGCTGGCTCTATGTTCCGCTCGACGAGTTCTGAGCCTGGTGTGCGCCTAGCTTTGGTCACTTCTTCAATACATTTTAGATCTAAAATGGCGATGTAGAATACGTAATAATTCATATCCTCTTTGTCTTGATTGGATAGCTGGATCCCTGAGTATCGAAAAAGTGACCCGGCATGACACAGGAGTCTAAAAAATCAGGACCTGGAAAATGCTCAAAACAGGCGCCAGCTTTCCCATTTACATTACGACTCTATGATACAACTGTTCATATACTTGGCATTTTGTACAGCAAAAAGAAGTTGCACAATTTTGAAAACAGTGTGATCGCTTTGGTTTCTTTTTGCTAAATATGATTCAATTCTAGACCAGTTTGAAATTCATAGTTACCTCATCACCATCCTTGAAAGATTTTGCTTTGATCTCATTCATGGGTTTGATAGAAACAAAATAATTCCGCAAACTGCCAAATATTTCATCAATTTTGCCTACTTGCTGTTTGTTTTCTAGGTAGATTGGCGCGTTGAAGAATGGTACATCTTCCATTTGTACTTTACAAACTATATCATCTTGACAAGGGTATTTGAAGTGTCCAAGAAGCACTACCTGAAAAATTTAAAGCAGGGTTTAACAGCTGTTCAAAGTTTTAAGGTTGAGCAAATTTTTTATCCTCGACGAAACTCATTTTTGGGGAGAGGACAATATGGGAGAGGGAATGAAACACTAGACACATGAGTACTGCAAATCAAGTTTCTTCATATAAATTGTACATGTAATATTTTGAATAAATTGAAAATGTCAAAACCAATCCATAAGTTAGAAATTGGCTTTTTAAGTTCACAATAGAGTCGGTGAATTTAAAATTTCCGCTCATGAAAAAAACCGTAATCAGCGCTTGTAAAAAACGGCCGGGGCTTTGAGAATTTTATGGAAAAAGGGCTTTTAAAATGGAAAAGTCAGTTTGAAAAATAAGAGAATTAAGAACTTTCTACATCCTTGCATCTTATCCCTATGATCTCATGATAGGACTCATGCTTCACAATATTTCCAGATGCATGCCATCCAGATATTTTCACTTTGTTGATGAGGACATTGAAAGTAGAAATGCACATCTAAAATAAACTACATACCTCTTCCGGTGGACCTTCTGGTTCCCGACCAAAACCTCCTCTACCTCCTCCTCTTCCTCCTCTGCCTCCTGCACAACAGAGAATTTTAAATAAAAAAATGGATTAGAATTGAGAATGCAGAAAAATGCATTTGTAAGAGAAAATGAACAAGGAAAAACAGAGAAGAGAGGAGCTATACATGGTTTAATCCAAAAATAATGCAAATTTTTGGGAGAAAAAAGTGATATAATTATCGATGGTGGTTTTTATAAGGTTCCAGAAGATAAAAAGACCGTTTAAAAGGTCCTGACCTTTATGGCTTTCTTTGTAAACATTTCGTTAAGATAGACATTTTCTCCGTGACAACGGAACAGTTGCTTGAAAATGAATTGTCAAGTGAAAAAATCAAGGCAGATAAAGACATTTCATAGCTGAAAGAAAGCATAAATCAAAAACAATATCTTGCAGAAATGGATTATCAAAAAAACTGCTGAAATTCTTCGTGAGATTATTGCCGGCAGCAATCACATCTATCTGACCCCTTGACTCTATTCCATTTTTTGTGATGAATTCATACATCGACGGTGAAACTACCAAACCACGTATCTCGTTTGCGGTGTTTAAAAATCTACTCTCGCATTTAATTTTTTTGAAGTAGACCAAATCAATATCATTCCTTGAAATTTTCACAGAATTTTCTCCGCACGGAGAGGAAAAATCACAGAAATTTTCAAGACAGGACGTTGAGTAGTTTTTCATTTAAAAAATAAAGTATGACAGGAAGTGACGCACGGTGTGGCGATATGGGTAAAAGGTCGGACATGGGCGATTCCGGGATTGTGAATGTTTAGGACCGGAAATGTGTTCTACGAGTATTATATTATATGGATTTGATGATAGTTTTTAAATTTTCATCCCCCATATTGATGGTACAGGCCTCTAAAGTCCGCTAAGTCGGCAATCTAAAATTTCCTCTAAAAACGCACCAATGTTTGTACATTCTTTAGTCTATTTTAACATTTCATGAGACCTTTTCCAATGACGTAATCTTACTCTATGCAAGCTGCTGATCATTTTTCACTACTAAAATGTAGCCGTAAATAGGGTTGAATACGATTTATGCCGTCTGAAAGTCCTCGCGCCGAAAATGCTGAAAATAAAACTTTATATTAACTTTCGTTCCAAGTGCCAAGGAGTGCCACGCTGGGACTTGTTGGGGCAGACCCACAGGACCCCTGAGAAGCCTCCTAAACAATTTTTAGCTGCTAATATCTGCTACTCCGACGGCAGCATGATATTATCTGATATGAAGTCGGTTGCGCGAAATCGGTTTTTATCACTCCGCGCAACCAATTGTTGATATTTCCCTAAGATCCATCACGCAGGTAAGTGGTCAAAGGTTAAAATAGGCTAAGTACGTGTAAAAGAAGTTACTGGATGCAGCAGTAGTAGTGTAATTTATTTACTTCTATGTATAGGACATTTCAGAAATTTAAATCGTTTCTGTTATTTATCATACTAATAATGAATGGTAAAGAGGCTAGAACTGTTATTATAAGTTTAAATAATGTGACTACTACTCACACTGGTTGGTATCCTCATTTTATAATAATTATAAACACGGCAATTATAGAAATTTCGAATATCATGTAGAATATCATTAAATTTCACCTGTAGAAAGTCATTATTAATAGGACTAATATTGTAAATATATACTTAAGTATTACACATTTTAGTCTGACTAATTTTACCAAAAATTAAAAAACAATATTCATATTGATAAATTAAGCTGGATGTAGCTAATTAGCTACATATGGTAGTGGATGAAGTAGTCGAGAGTTAACGTTTCGTTTGGTCATGAAGGGCAAATAGATATGTTGTTTAAAATCTCGTTTCTTCTATTTTATTCAATTTTTTTTGTTCCTATATTAACAGCAGTATTAAGATATACAATTGTGAATACGTACAATGCTGCTCATAAAGCCAGGTGGAAAGAGAAAAGGGATGGCTGCAAATATTTTAAGAAGTGTCGAACGTTTAAATCATAGAAATGCATTCATTTGCGAGATGGAAATTATGTAAATAGCAATTTTTCTCGGATTTTTATCACTCAAATGGTAAAAGTAAAGGCAGGTTTGAAATTTACAACAAAAATTACCCTATGATCACGCTCCTTGATTCAAAATGATGTGTTTTAAAGCCACAGTTTCGAGGTGGTTCAGGAAATCAATGTTTTTAGTCTTCTTCAGAAATAACTTGTGTAAATAGCAATTTTTCTCGGATTTTCATTACTCAAATGGTAAAAGTAAAGGCAGATTTGAAATCTACGACAAAAATTGCTGCAGAAGTGTCCTCCTTACTTAAAAATGATGCGTTTTAAAACCGCAGTTTCCAGGTGGAAATCAATGTTTCAGTATTTTTCAGGAACAACTTATATAAATAGCAATTTTTCTCGGATTTTCATCACTCTAATGGTAAAAATAAGGGCAGATTTGAAATCTACGACAAAAATTGCCCTGGATAAATCCTCCTTACTTAAAAATGATGCGTTTTAGGGCCACAGTTGACAACAAAACGCAAGTTGTCGAGCGCATGTCCGGGCAAACCGGCCTTTCGCCACACCGTGCGACGTCGCAAACCGAGATACGTGGTTTGGTAGTTTCACCGTCGACATGTTGCAATCCATTTTAGAGCTCTGCATTGGCAAATTTCGGCAAGAGGATTTGCTTCACTTTTAAGCCAAATTTCACAGAAATACCGACTGACATAGAAATACACTGAAAAAATCGAAAGTAAGTTAAAAGAAGTAAGCAGAAAACTTGACTAAATCCACTTGCGGTAATTCGCTGGATGATTTCCTTTGGGCATATACATTTTAAGAGATGAAAAACGTAATCTGTGAAACTGTTTCAACAAAAGTCTTTTGTCATCTTTGTTGGCACAAGTACTCTCACATTTACCTCCTTTAAAAGCCTCAAAATTGGAATAATTGCCTGAGCTCTCCATTACTTCAAATTTCAGGATTTATTGAATATTTGTGAAGATTTGGTACTGCCTAAATACATTGGACCCAGGTTATTAAAATGATACCATACCTCGGAAACCTCCACCACCTCCTCGTCCAAATCCGCCGCGCCCACCGCCCCGTGAATTACCATAGGACATTTCTAAAAATAAATGCAAAGTATATTAATATAACAGCGATATTTAATTTAGTTTAACTTAAAAAATAAATAATAAAATACAAAAGCATGGGCGAGGGCCCGGACAGGGACTGGTAGCGGCTACCTGGCCGCAAGTATCTGGTCCGGATATGGGATCCCGGCTGGTAAGCTATGCTCAGGGCTCCTGGATCTTGGGGCATGCACATAGTTTGCTATGCTGAGAGGTCGAAAGCTTCGATCCTCAGCATATCATTTTCAGCATACGGCACTGAGATACTCAGGTAGCCGTCTAGACGGCGACTCGACAGATCTCAGCATCCGCATAGTAGCTAGATCCTGAAGCAGAACTGGATACGTAGAGATTCAGCCCGACGTTCATCCTGGAGATCCCGTGCGACGGACAATGGAGACAATGCCCTCAATGCGAGCGCTTCAATGGAAGTTGCACGAACTGTGGCGGCCAATCTCGGTGCACTTCGTAGCCGGCTAGTAGCCGATACCTGGTGGATATTAGCACCTCAACATATCAATGTAGCCGTCCACCCTCATATGCTGGGATACTTTGCAGCGATGGATGCCAGCTACTTTGGCATGTGGCATCTCGATGTATGCCATGGGTCAACCTCTGCTATGAGTCCCTGGGCCCGGGCAGAGGGTGAATAAAAACATCGGATTCTCTATTCATCAGCAAGAAAGGTGAAACGCAAGAATTAGACTGCGTGCAGCATAACGAAATCAGGCTCCATCAGCAATTGCCATATTCAACTCGTCAATTTAATTTTTTACAAGAGAACGTTCAAGCGGATTCCTTGGGAATTTTCAAGGAATTTGGATTGTACTATGCAGAATATTCACTGAAATATGCACAAAAATCCATACGACCGTTTTCATGTAAAAAATGAATTTGCCTATTTGAATTTGGCAATGGCTGATGTGGCTTGGTTCCTTTCTGCTTAGCGTTGTCCAAGTAGGAGAAAGCAGTGATCAACTAGGGTGGATTTGAGAAAGGGCCACATCGGCTGCAGCAGATGGGGAGGGGGAGGAGGAGGGAGCGAATCAAGTTAACATGGCGGTAGATTTCATGAATGATAACTTGGTCTTCGCTTGAAACATCCTCACTTTCAAAATCTTGGAGCTGAGAAATCAAAAATGTAGCTCCAGAGATCTATGAAAATCTAATGATAAACATGTCTCCTGGCCCTACTAGAATTTTCTGGAGTAATCAAATAAGTCAGTACTTGACAAATTTGGACTTGGTGAGTGATCTTACTACAAAGTCTCCAAAAATGAAGAATCCGTCGTGATATGGACGAACGAATTTTCATGAATTGGTAGGTAGAGCTACCGCACCTTATGTTGAGACAAACGTCGAAGTATTGTTTGTGTTACCATTCGTCGGTGGTGCCACCTAACTACATGTATTAAGCTGTTGAGTGGTACGAATTCAAAGCTATTCGGAGATTGACGTTTGTGCGATGTGCGAGCTATAAACAAAATAACAACATTCAATAGTTTTTGACAATTGAGGGTTCCTCTGGAGACGTATTGCTGCAGATTATCATTGAATCTGGACACAAAACCTAGGTTTTAAGAGGGCAAGCTTACAAACAGTGTAAGATGCTTGCTCCTTTGTGAGTCTCGTTACTTAGACACAAAATTCCATTGAACGCTTAGGGAGATAATAGAGTACAAAGAGGAAAGAGGTGTCTGATTGAATAAACAGGACCTGAGACCGGGTGAAGCAAAGAATCTCAGGAAATTTGGAATAAATACTTACCGAAATTTGAAAGAAAACACAGAAGATTGGAAAACTTTCAATTGAGAAAACCACGTGTGTGAATGATTGCCTGCAAATTACGACCTAACCTCAACTCATAATACCGGCAACGTAAATTTTGGAATCAAACAAGAAGAACAAGAAGGTCAGAGCATTACCGCCATGTTGATGACGAAATTCTCAAGAAGCTCCAATGAATTTGCAGATCTACCCTAGCCTAAAGTACGTCATCAAGACAGAAAAGTGTCAGATCTTGTTACATGCACCTTAAAAGATAAGGTTTGTTTTGTTTTTGCTGTGTGGTGAGGTTAATTCAATACCATCTAATCATACCTGGCCATTGGAGAATACGTGTGAGAGTGTGTGAGTAATAGCTCCCGACGTAGACATAGCGGCCATAAAGTTGCTTAACGGCTCTGGGGTTCTACATAGACATTATAGTTCTTCTAGCGAATCCAAGAGATACTCTTATATTCAGCTTCTTTATCTCTACCCATTCTAAATTTTTCTTGTATGGAATGTAACAAAATGTGTTACAAAATAAAATTTCTACCTTTAAATCATAAGAGTTGAAGTGGTCCCCCCCCCCCTCCTTCAAATAAATACTAACTTGCACCGAAATAAGGTGAAAAAACCAATTTTTCTCAAAGGGGCATGTATTTAGGAGTCTATTTTACTCGCTACTTTGCGGTTGGGACCTAAACTAGCATCACCCAGCGTCAGGAAGACATCTCGCTTCACGAACCAAATCTTCTGGATGACGTGCCTTGTATTCCCCATATGACTTCACTACCATTATTAAATATTTTTTTTCTTCCATTAAAACGCAATTCGGTCGCATATATTTAGCTCAAACGGTCTACCTTGCTTAGAGCCTTCGTAACAAATTTTTTTCCCCGCATTCAAGCACTTTTTATGTAAAAAGAATCAATTTTTGTAAGTTCGCCCTATACAATCCCGTGTATTCTCGGGAGTTACGAACATTTAACCTCAAACCCATGGCCAGGTATGATTAGATGGTATTGGTTAATTTCACTTCATATATAAAACATACATGTAAAAACGACTATGAAACGAATTTACACTTTACAAATCGCAAAATTCTCTGGTCCTCATGTCTTGTCGATGTGGTGATTATCATTACTACTGCTTATCTCGTGTCTTCCTGGTATTATCGTACCTTTTTTCCACGCGTTTACTGAAAAAGTGATTGTTTACTTCGACTTCGTAATTGTGATAAAAACTTTCAGCTGAACAGTGAGGATTTTACTCGAGCCCTCTTATGAATTTTTTGGACAACTTCAGTGGTTCTGTAGCCTGTTTATTCGTTACCCACACAGCTGGAAACACATCTTGAATTTACTGATCGATTGCAAGATCAACTCGCAAGGAAAGGAAGCTTTATTCATGCTCAATTTTATCTCTAGACTCCGCTTCAGCCTAGATTTAGTTCTTTCTTCTCAGCATTCTTTCCTAGCATTTGGTAATTATTCTGTTTACACTTTTAACGTTTCCTTTATTCTCATGTGTTTTCTAATACTACAAATGGCGTAAGTTACTGAGTTTTTGCAGTGCTGACATTCTTGCTCTGAATCACACCACTTATTTTTTTTATGTTCATGATCCGGGTGTCTCAAAGACTAGAGTACCTGTATACCGAGAGTATGGACAGATCACTTCATGGAAAAGCCCAAATCTTCATGCCCAAAAGTGCAGCCACCCTTCTAACCAACTTCTAACGCACAAAATTTCACTGCCAGTCTGTAGATTCCAATTCTAATGAACATGGCTAAGAAAGTACCTAAATGAGCGTTCTTCCACATAAATGAGTAAATTTATGCAAAAACTAAGTCAAATACGTGCTTTATAAATGATGGTTAGTAACAATTGTTCTAATAAATTGCTCTGGATAATTGAAATTCTTAGGTTGGCTGCATTTCTGGGCCCTAACTTTATTCAAGGAGGCATCGGTGAAGGCCTGATGGATTTTTGGAGTTTCACATCTGTCCATACTCTCGCTATACAGGTACTCTATCAAAGACATGAAGACAGAATGCGTGGGACGACGTGTGGACAGACAAGTGGGTTTCGTCCACTTTTTGATCCCAAAAAGTCTCTTGTTTGCTGCTGTTAGTTAGTCTATTACATGCCTCTTTTATCCACTGCAACCTCCAGGGCTGGATTTACTTACTTGCCACCCCTTTCTTGTCCGTTCAAAACATCAATAAGAATCATCAAGTAGACCTGCTGAAGGGGGGGGGGGTTGGATAAGATGCATACATATATTCGTCTTGGGCACACTTTTTTTGAAATCCCTTTCCTCACTAGCATAAGTTCACAGAATTTTGTACATAATTTATAGCGTCTACCTCTCATACCACATACGGATAACACAATTAGAAATTAGGCACTATAGTTTTATACCTTCGGGAAATGAGAGTTTTTGCCGCCTTTTCTTGTTTGTAATTTTTTTAGAATCCAAAATATTTTTTTTTATATCTATGTTTAGAAAAATAGCAAAATTTGCCAGCCCTGGCAACCTTCCGCTTCCACCAGTAGAATCGCTTCATTTTTCCTTCGGTTTATTTGTCTATCGCTGTGTCCATCAATTCCATAATCAACCTGCTGTATAGCATACTGCATACTGCAGCACTGTATTTGATCTTACCCAGCTAGAGGAGACCTCTAAAATTTAGAATTGCCCTTTTTTATTTTTTTGAATAGAAGATAATGGTTGGTGGAACCAAAGCCGAGGTACCAGAGGTGGAACTCACAGAAGATGAAGACAGCCAAGAGGCACATGTGCAGAAAGCTGTCGAGAGGAAGAAACTTCAGCCTGATGAGAGAATGCCCCCCATCAATGTTCCAGAAAAAATATTTCTCTGCTTGGACGTCACTCCATCCTGCTCCAAGATCAGTTTATATCCAGGTAAGGATGTAGAACCATTGTTGCTCCTTAAACAAAGCATACTAATATTTATCAACAACAAGCTCAATTGGAATCCGCAAACACAAATCTCCATCATTTTGTTGAATGGTTCTAGTGCTGTTCTCTACTGCCCGTTCACCGACCGCAAAGACAAGTTAATTGAAAATATAAAGCGAATTCATGTACCTCCAGGTGATGGAGATACGTCCATGGAGGATGATGAAGAAGATTTTTGTTTGGATGAATTTTTGAAACTTATGATGATGAATGTAGAATTACCCGAATGCCAAGATAAAAAAACGTTACCTGCATTTATAGCTCGGGGCATATTTTTCTATGGCCGCACCAAGTTCCTTAGCATAAGAAATTCCATGGATAAATTTAAAATGTTCATCGACTCCCCTTACTTCATATTTGATAGTCTTTTTCTACACGAAGATGAATTAGATGAAAGTGTCCGTGTACAAATTATAAGTACTCTGTCAAAGCTAGATAATGGATACTCGTACATTCTAGAGACTGATAACAGTGCTGTTAATTTTATGAATGCATTTTCATTGCTTTCATCTCACCCGTTGCAGCGTCCTCACCAAAGCGATTTTAAAGATGACATAATGTCTTACAAGAAAAGCTTGAGCAGTTAGAATAATTTTTCAGAAAAACCTGTTCTCCATCTCGATTTTTTTCCCTTATTGTCGAAGCCACTTCAGCTTATTGTTTAAAGTTATGTCTAATCAGACATGTATACATTCACAGTGCCTTGCACATTACCTTTAAATTGATGTACAAATAACCATTTCTCTATCATTTTTGGAAACAATTTTTCTCCTCTACTTATTTTTAGTGTAGCTCTTTACTTTTTTAGTTATTTAAAGCAAGAGTAAATGTCTATGTAATTAATAGTTTTGTTTCTTTGTCAATTTTTTACCTCAATTTTAGTTCTCCATATTTTGTTCAATGTTTCTTATTCTCATTTATAGGTATCATTATTTCTGTTAAAAATGAAATTTACATTTTGAATAAATTTAATGTAAAAAAAATTGATTTCCATTTTCTCATTGGATGTAAATTACTCTAACAAAAGAAGAGTTTCTCAGCATATGGAGCAAATGTATCAACATTTGTAATAGAAAAGTCTTCCAGAAAAGACTTCAACTTTGATGACCAATCTAATAACTTCTCTGGTGTTTAAAACATTTTATAACACCAGGCAGAGCTGACTTAATTAAGTAACGGGGCAGAAAGGAGAGGTGTTTTTAAGGTCAAAATCAGCCTCATGAAGCTGAAATCGGACCCATGTTAAATTTTTTTTAAAAGAAAACACATCATATTTCTCGCCTGGCATTATCTTGTTTGCTGATTGAAAACCATTAAATGCAAAAAGCTTTGAAAATTGGCTTTTTTCAGCTCTTAGTTCCGATATTGGTGAAAAAAAAAAAAAAAAAAAAAAAGACCAGGGAACGGTCATTATCAGAAATTGGCCCCAGACGGTGTTTCCCGCCAATTTTTGAAGTAAATGATATAACTACAAAACCTTGTATCCTGGTTTTAGTCTTTGTTAATTTCCCATCATATTTTACTCTTTTGGTGGATAATTAATCATCGTTGTTTAGGTAAGAAGTAGGTCCCAATTAAAAAACTTTGACTTTTTTTTCTGTCAGCTTTTCTAGAGGACGCTTTTAGCTTTAAAGTTTTTACGTATTCTTTAGAAAATCTTTCTTTGGATTACAAATTTTCAAAAATGAAGAGTCGTTTGATGGTCAATCCACATACGTTAGTCATCATTTTTTTTCTTTTTCACAATTTAGAAAAAAAAAGCGTTTTTTACCTTCTGGTGCATGTTTCTAGGAAACTAACAGTTCGATCTTCATAAACTTTTTTTTAAAATCTCCTTGAAATTAGAGCCTTAAGTGGTACTATAGCGGTATATGTGTAGACATATAAGTTTTTTTATGCCAAAATACAGCAATGAAAAATTTTGGGGAAATGTGCCCAAGTTTCAACTTTCAAAAAAGAACTTTCATGCAAACAGATTTTCATATCTCTAGTTTTAGTTGTAGACAACAGTCATATTTGTATGCCTACAAACTTTCAGGCTTTTAGATTTAAAAGTTTCTGGGGAAAATGCTAATGCACTGGAAGTTGAACAGATTGTACATTGAATCAAATGTAACCCATTCCTTCCCCTGGGCAAAACTTGTGCGATTTTTTTTCTGCCCTTGTAAGTTTTAAAAGTATTTTTTGGAAGTATCGTATAAAAATTATTCAATGATATTTACTTGAAAAATTAGTGAGAGTAAAAATTTTGAACCACAACAATCGAGATACATTTTTCTGTCGAATCTAGGATAAATAATCCAGTTTCTGAGGTCATCATGAGGTTACATCCAAAACTTCATATCAAATAATATCGAAAATTAGCTGGTGCAGGCTAAAAACACTTGAGAGATCTTGGAATGAATAGTTGGGTGTAAAATGGGACACTTCTTTTATTTTAAGCTCTGTATACTTTATACAAATGCTTAGACAATAAGTCGGATCAATGCAAAAAATACAAACATAAGATCAGACAATTAAGATTTTAGATCGCCTAACAATAATGATAACTTTCAGGTAAAATTATTTACATCTATTTTATTTATCAGATAAAATTAATCCTGCGGGTAAAAGATGATATAATGATTTTTGAAAGTTTAAAATTGAATTTTGATAGATTATAATGAGCGACAGTTACAAACAGGTCTTGGCTTGTTATGCCTTCATGTTCAAACTGTAAAATATTGACCAGACAAGTGAAATTTTTGTACTTCTTTATTTTCGAGATTCTTGCTGCTTAATTGTGCTAGAGGCCTCACTAAATAAGTATAGGCACTTTTAGACTGCGAAAGAAGATCTGCCATAGTGTTCCTTGCATTTACTTTACATGTAAAAGTGGCGACAGATAATTTTCTGTCGCAGGCTAGAAGAGCGTAAACTTACTTGTCAAGGACTCTAACAGACTTTAAAGGAAAAAAGAACCCAAAAACCAATTCAATTAATTTCTCAATTTGACTATTCATATCGAAAGAAATCAGAATTTGGGGAGGAAAAAGGTAAAGTGAAGACTGTTCATTGGATTAAGTTAAAATGCAATATTTTTCCAAACGTTGTCTCTTATGTCATATGAAACTGCTGAAGAGGTTCTTGATACGTTGTGTAAACAATAGTATCTTCTTGTCCATTTTGGGCTATCATATTACCAGAGATCGAGGGTGAAGCTGGAAAAAAAGAACGGAAAATAAAAAAAAAATAGGAAAAATTTTTGTCATAGAGAAGTGGTAAAAACATAATACTTGCACTGTCCTTGAAAGAGAAACAAAATCAGGTCTGTGCTGTTCTTGCTCTTATGTATCTTCATGTCTCTCCTTCAAGCCGAATCAATGTTACAACTTTACCAGATGCCTTGCATTGAAAATATAAGCTTCAGGCCTGAAAAGAAGAATTCTTGCCATGTCAGCACTCCTCGTTGGTATGGCCATGATTTCCGTCGCACCCTTGCTTCTTGCAAAATTCCCTGCTTTATGATGGCCATGCCAAAATCAAAATTGGTCCTAGTTCTTGAGAAAAATTCAAACATTAAGCTAGACTTCAAAATAGATGAAGAGCCTACGATTTCAACAAGAATGCTCATTTTATATCCTACTGAAGATAGAAATAGGGTGAAAAAAACTGTCCCTGCAATAACTTATAGTGAGGAATGTGTCACCAAAGTGAAGGAAAGAAAGAAAAATCATGACCAAACAAGCATATTTTTCCCCTATTTTCCTGCTCATAGCTGACGGGGACAAGTTAAATGAAAGCTCTCATTTGAAATTTGGCATCTTACTAATTCACTTTTTACCAATTCTCCATCAACCTGTTCAGCCCATGCACCCGTAGCCTAGGTTAGGAATGAGAAACAAGGAAAATGTTTGAGTCTCATTAAAATGTCTATATCTCCCTTATTTTTTTATGAAATAACTTGAATTTGTCAGGATTTCTACAGTATGCATCATAGATTGACAATACCTGTCTCAAATTGTTCCAGCTTTGTTCCCAAAAACATTTTCAGCAAAAATTTTAAAAATTTAATTTTTTAACTTGTATATAGAGCCTAGAGTAGGCCCTGGAGGACGGCGAGTTGAGCTCGTATTTTTACAGGTGCAGGGTTCACCAGGTCAAAGACATGTGCAGCCTTTAGATTTTGTCATGAGTGTAACCAATTAATTCACAGGCTAATTTCTGCTGATTGGCTCAGTTAGCCAATAGAAATTATCTGCGTTAGATTGTGATAGAGAAATTCATAAAGCCATTTCCCCCCACAAAGTAAGATGATAGATAGTTAATTTATCTATTTAAATCCTTACCAAAGCAATCATCAATTTCTTCATAAATATGTCCAGTAGATTTATCGCCTTTGGTAGCCTGAAAATATTTAGAAACATTGAAAACATTAAAGAAAAGGAATAAACAATGTAAAATAAAGAGAGAAATGTGGTCATTAGCTGACCACTGAATTGACTTCATCTTGCAATCTCATTAAAAAATGCACCTATCTCCATAGGGAATCAAATGGCACATATGCTATCTCTAAAATAAGCTACAAATAGAAGTTCCTTAGTTCAAAATGTCAACAAATTGATTTTAATAAGTAATTTTATTTATTTTTAATAGAATACACAGAATCAAAGCATACTGAAATTAGAGCTGGTGATCTTTCTGCTGTTGAACCATTAACGTTAAACTTCAGCTACAGCAAGGACAAAGTGTCTCTCTCATGAAAAATTGCTCAAAAATTAAATTGAGCCCTTTATCCAAGTCTTAAATGGATAACAAAAAGAAGAAAGCGCATAAAACTAGGTAAAATAACATATGTTCCCTCTTTACTAGTTGAACTTTGTGAACACTTTAAAAACTTTCTGCTCACCAAAACACCAAAGTTTAGATGGATCACTGAACCGATTTTAGTGCTTTTTACAATGAAATCTTCAGCAAACCATACTTTTCAATTTGTTTGTGAGATTGAGATTCTTAAAATTTTCTTTTATTTTCTTTCGGAGTTTTTGAAATCGAAATTATCCATAGTTCCTGACTTAAAATCTGCAGCCAATAGAAAACAAACTTAAACATAATTAGTCGATAAAAGAAGAAAATTACCTCTCGGTACTTTTGCAAGTAAATTTTCAACGATTCTATGTAATTGTCAAATCCTAAATTTGTCATCGCAAAAAGAATATCTTCACCGTTTATTGTTTTCCTTTTTTCTTGATGACATCGTTCGCTTGCCTCACTTGTGATGAAACTGATAAATTCAGAAACACACTCTTGGACACATTCTCTGGCATCTTTGGCAATCTGTAAAACGATGACAGTATTTGTTATTGACATGGACATCAAGAATTTGGCAGTATCACAGATCATTCATATTAATGTGACAAATATTCTAGATCCTTGTTTAATGCAAACTAGGGTTGTTTAAACAAATCCTAGTTATCCATCCGTTCAATTTAATATTGATGAACCAAGATAAGGCATCTGTAGGAAATGGGCTAACTCTTTTGGAACTATTCATGCTCAGAGTCCGAGAGTTGTTGCTCCAAATTCTCTCCTTTGGGTTAGGTACAAAGCCCTCGAAAGTGAATTACCCATCTTTTTCATCAGTTTTTAGGCTTCTTGGTCAACGCTTAAGAAACACATGGTTGACTCTCTCTTGTGCAATAAGACGAATCATCATATTCAACGTTAAGAAAACGAGTGACTTACTTTGCCCCTAGGAGGAATGGCTTTTTTCATAATTTTAGCAACATTTGCAATGGGCAGGAATCTGTCTTGTTCTCTGAGAGGTCTGGACGATTTTGGGTCACCATCATGATTTGAATCATCTGAATTTTCCCCAGTCAACACAGCATCATCTGTAATATATCATAAAACTATTAAATATCATGTTTAAGAATTGAGTCAGCTCACAAAAAGGCATCTAGATATCCGCGTTGTTATTCAATTTTTAACTGTAAAAAAACAAAAAAAAAAAAAAAAAAAAAAAAAAAAAACTGCAGAGAGAAGGATAAAACAATGTTAAGTAGCTGATCAGCATACAGATGGATTATCAGGAGACTGTAAATTTGTTATTAAGTAGTGCTTGATCCTACTAAAATAGAGTGACAAAAGATGTTTGGCATCAGATTTTAAAGCCTGCAAGCCGCTTGAATTTCTTGAATAGGTAACAAGGTGGTATTTGGCTGTACAAAAGCTTGAAATTTACTCGAGAAAGCTTAAAATTGGATGTATTTTCGTCAGACGGAACCATGTGCATTAGGACATCAGCCCTGTTATGCATGTATTCTTATGGGTCTCAGGGCTCATATCTTGATGCACACAGTTCCGTTTAATAGAAATTCGTCCAATTGCATCTCTAGTGCCTTCCATTTTGACAATTTTCCGGAGGGGGTACCCGAGACTCCCCAGGGGCTCATCAGTTTAAGTTGTCCTGAGGCTCATATTGTGTTTGCACATCCCTGTTTGTCTCGCTTTGCAGACTGTTTACGTCTCCGCATGCAGTGGTGGCAGCATCTGCAATCAATTTATGATTGCTTTGACAAATGAATAAATACGAATGGCTAAAAATGTACCACAACAGCAAAGCAGTAGCTTACAAACTGAAAGTAGACAACTGCTGGCAAATCTACCCATTCCCTGGCAACTCGATGTAAGACTCTTCCCCGCCTCTTCGTATCCATGACTGTTCCGATTTCGTGAGCAACATGATCTGAGCGATTCATTACGGAAGATTTTCCAGTAATTACACAGTCCACAGTATATTGGTTGTGCATCTGATGGTGTGAGAAAACGCTTGTAAAAGGATGAGTGGAGGGGGGTAGATGCATTGAGGGAGGCTCAATATGAATTGAACATGGTAATAAGCCCATGACTTGACAAGAGCACAGACTTACACCCTGAATAGCTTCTTACCATCCATGTCATCGTTGATGATGTAACCTTGCCCGTTTCCAGTCAAAAAAGCACTGCTAATTTCGTCGCCGCTGTCACTGTTACAATCCATTGCAAAATGTTTGGATGAACCGCGATTAGGCTATATAATGAGATTGACGAATCAGCGGAAAAAGCTCCCCAATGGAGGATTCGATTGACTCCGAGGATTCGTGAGCACTGACCAATCAGTTGTGTCCTGAAAGAAACGACCAATAAGCGGGATCGAAGGACCGCAATTCGTGAAGCAAACTCGTAAGTTCACACGGCGCTGATATTAATCGCGAGAAAATCTAAACTGAACGTAGAGGCACTCAAAGATTTGGGCTCAGAAAAGTTAAAAGCTATTGGGAAAATGTCGCAGGCACAAAGCAAGCAATGGCGATCAAAAAACACTGACAAAAGTGGTGGGGGATGCCTCTTTTTACGTCACGAATGTAAACATCTCGTGATGCTTGCATCACTTACCAGAGAGCGCTGCGAACGCTCACTGGCCATGCCATATACTGCCGTGCTAAGGAAAAACGCCGTATGAGCCTTCAGACGTTGCCGAATTTTCTTCGATAAAAACAGAATTTACAGAGAAAATTGTATGTGTATTTTTCCAAAAAATTCAGACAATTTTTTACGCAATTTAATCTAAAATATCTGAAAATTTCAAGAGAAATATGCTTAAATTGCATCAAAAATACATGTTTTATCAAGGAAAATTTGGCAACTCTCGAATGTTTATGCGGCTTTCTTCCTCAGCACGGCAGTATAGGATGCTGATCGGATGATAATATTCTTTAGACAGGGTGATTCATTCTAAAGTCCCTTCCACTCCCTCTAACTTTTTACCTGATTTAGGTAAAGATTTGAAACTTAAGGGATGTTCCTTGATCAAGGGAAGATACTTTTCGGCCCCCCTAAAATTTTAAGGAGGTCCTCTTCGGGAAGGGCGACGGATAACCCCAACTTTTTTTTCCGAACAGGAAGACCCCCCCCTTGTGCAATGGCAATACCTTGATCAAAACATCTTAAAAAAAAAAAAAGAAAATTTTTGCGTAAACCCGAAGTCAATATATCCAACCTTTTAAATATGGCGGCCGATTAAAATTCAAAATGACCGAATACTGTCGCCTCGGTTTTCTGTCGATGGATTTACGCCATCGGTAGCTGTGGGCTTTACTTTGTCCCGTGAAAAGCGAATTTAACGTTAGTTTCTTTACATCAACCGAATTTTTCTAATTGCAGTTGGTGAAAATTTGAAATGAGAAATGACCGATTTTTTTTTTTTTTTTTTTACTTCTAACTCAAAATTCTTTTTTTCATGCCAGCATACCTCGTTTCCTTTACATTTTCAGGCAAATTCATCAGCCCAAGACCATGCTGTCCATTTTCGACCATTATTTTGTCTTTTGACCGCCCCCCCCCCTTTTTGAAAATTACTAGTTTCTAAAAGCTATCGTCAATTTCATTTTTTATTTTCAATACACACCCGCTTATCGATTTTCGCTGAAATCCATCGACAAAAAACTTATGCTTTAAAAAATGCGCATCGAAGAGGATGTCTCTCCATTTGAAGAAATTGGGGTCCGTTGCCCCTCCCCCCCTCCACGAGGGCCCCCTTCAAAACTTTAGGAGGATCAAAAAGTAGGTAGCCTCTTTGACCTAGGAACTAAAGTCCCTTTATAGAGGAGCATCCCCTAACTTTCAAATCTTTACCTCAATTCGATAAGGATTTAAAGGGGCTATGGAAAGGAATTTTGGATCACCCTGCAGGTACGCACTCGCAATTCTTCTTCATCTTTTGACCATCAGCTGAATGGGACAAGACTGTCCCTTTTACTATCTTAAATGCGTTACGTTACACGCTCGTTATGAACCGACGTAAGAACGTCCTCTCTTCTTAAATAACCTTTTCATAATTTCTATATGTATTGAGCTCGCATCTTTGAATTCGGATTTCAAGCGGGTGAGAATTAGAACTTTGGAGTAAGTATGTAATATGGTATCACGCGGGATAGAAGGAAAATCATGTAGCTTTTCACTTTTCTGAAATCACTGGCGATAATGAATGTTTGCAAGGAGCTCGCATCGTTTTGGCTTTTGAGCGCGCAACTATTAGAACTCAAGAGTAGGTATGTGATGTGGTATCACGCGGGAAAGAAGGAGAATCATCTAGCTTTTCACTTTTCTGAAATCACTGGCGATAATGAATGTTTGCAAGAAGCTCGCATCGTTTTGGCTTTTGAGCGCGCCACTATTAGAACTCAAGAGTAGGTATGTGATGTGGTATCACGCGGAAAGGAAGGAAAATCATAACTTTTCATTTGTCTGAGAATACTGACGTTTATGAATGTATACATGGAACTTGCATGGTTGAATGCGGATTTCAGGGGAGCGAGAGTTAGAACTTGGAAGGAGGTAGGTACATGATGTGGTATCACTCGAAAAGGTAGGAAAATCATAGCTTGTCAGTTTGTCTGAAATAAGTGATATGACTGTCGATAGTGAATTGTATAGATTGAGCTCACAGCGTTGAATTCAGAAATCAAGCGCGCAACTATTCGAACTCCGGAGTAGGGGTCACGCAATGATTTTTTATGAAAATTTCACTAAGTTTTATTTGGCTGAAATATCATTCTCCATGAAATTCCAACAATTTTTCAGGTGTTGCGTTCGCCAACTTCAAACAATTAACCGAGAATTCGTTAAGAAACTGCCTTTTCTCCTTCTTCTTTTTTCCGAATTTTCGAAAATTAAAATGTTATCGTTTCTCTGCGTCTCGTGGGAGTCCATTACAGAAGTTTCGCAAATTTCATGAAATTTTGTGAATTTTCATGGAATTTGGCTCTGGAATGTCATTTCTCCAAGTTACATGAAATTTTGTGAATTTTCACGGAATTTCGTTATGAAATTTCATTTTACGAAGTTCCATAACATTTTGCATTCCTGTGAAACAGATGTAAAGGCTGCCGTGCTGAGGAAGAAGGCCGTATGAGCCATCAGACGTTGCCAAGTTTCCTCCGATAAAAACCGACTTTACCGGGAATATTGCGAATATTATTTTCCAAAAATTTCAGACACTTTGATACGCAATTTCATCTAAAATATCTGAAAATTTCAAGACGAAACTTGCCCGAATATTGTCAAAAATACATGTTTTATCAGGGGAAATTTGGCAGCTCTCGAATGTTCGTACGGCGTTCTTCCTGAGCACAACAAAAGGGACGAACCAGTGCTCTGCCATGCGAAGGAAGAACGCCGTATGAACCTTCGAGAGTTGCCAAACTTCCCCGAATAAAACATGTAGTTTTGAAGAGAGTTATGCGTATTTTTCCTTGAGATTTTCAGATACTTTAGATTCAATTATGAACAAAATTCTCTGAAAAATTGGAGGAAAAATATTCAGGATTTTCCCAATAAATTCTGTTTTTATCGAAGGAAACTTGGCAACGTCTGAAGGCTCATATGACGTGGTGCTGGTAGGGACATCATAAGAATATCGCGCAAGCCTCGGGCAGCATAATAAAGCAATTAGGAATTGGAAGCGAAGGCGGCGCCATCTACACCTGGAGACGAAGACGTCGACCAATGACGTCACGGAGAATTCTACGTGGGGCCGTAGGAAAACCCGTTAGTTCTCTTCCGTTGCGCCTGCGCGTCGCTCCCGAGACAGTACACTGACCCACTTCTTCGGCGCCGTACAACCGTGGATGCAGATCCGCCGGCTTCAGTGTAAACCCCTGCGTTCTCGCCTCTTTTCTTTTTCCGCGTTTAATTCTCCCATATTTTAACCACTCTCAATATTTAGCTTCCAGAAAATGTGCTTCAACCACGCATAGATATCGCCGTCAAGTTGCATTCTTCGAGGACATGTGGTGACAAGGACATTGACCCGGACAGATCAACGTAAGTGTCGGCCTACAACACGTATACCTATTCTTATTCTCCTGTGCTAAGGAAAAACGCCGTATGAGCCTTCAAGCGTTCACATTTTCCTCGGCAAATCACTAGTTTTGAGGAAAATTTGTGCATGTATGTCTACCAATTTCTCACATACTTAATTTTGTTTGTAATTTGATCTAAGACTTCTGAAAATGTCGATGAAAAAATATTCATAACAATCGCCTCAAAAATAAGCATTTTATCGAAGGATCTTTGGCAACTCTCGAATGTTCATACGGCGTTCCTCCTTAGCACGGCAGTACTTATTCCAGCGTGAAATTAAATTATATGTGACGTTTTATTGAAATGTGGCATCGAATTGTTTGATTTTCCTCAAATTGCACATCTCTACTCCAAGTACTCAGTACAGTGCAACGAAAATATTGAAGTAATTTTCCAATGGAATTACATTTGTTGTTTTCATGCAATATTTGTACATTATTTGGTCAATAAATACCGCTCTTTAAGTTCAATAAAACGAGTTATCTATGTCAGGGCCGGATTTAGGGGGTGGCCACATGGGCCGCGGCCCATGGCGGCAAAATTAGGGGGCGGCAAATTTTGCAATATTTTTAAATGTAGCTATAAAGAAAAATCGGAACCAGAAAAAAAATTATAAACGAGAAAAGGTGACAAATAATCTCTCATTTCTTGAGAGTATGTTTCTAATTTAGTCGTCTCTCTGTGATACAATAGACAGCACCTTTAATTAGTCGAGTTAAGACTAAGAGAGAAACCGAACACGGAATTTGGTCTGGAATGGCGCGACGCAGAGAGACGGAGAAACCCGCGGCGCGGCGGTCGGAATGTAACACATATTAGCGCCTTCAAGACTGCATGAATACTTCACGCATTGCGTCAACAACAGTGCTGTCGCTGCGGTCAGCAGCGGGCGCGGGCGGCGTGAAACGCATAGCGCCTACAAGACTGCATGAATACTTCATGCATTGCGTCAAACCGCTTACAAGACTGTAGGAATACTTCACGCATTGCGCCAAACACAGATCGGTCGGCGCGGCGGCGGAAGTTAAAATTATTAAACCACATTTATGTTTGCTCTGTCATTATTTTTACGTTCATTTCATATAATGGAAGGCCTTGTCCACACAGAGATAGATTTACGGAACATAACTTTCGCACTAAGTTCCGTGAACTTTTCCCAGTATATTGTTGATAGGGCTCTCGCAAAAAAATGTGTCCAACACGAGTAAACGCGTCTTATGAACCCCTCCCCCTCCAGCACGTTCACTTGATGGTTCTTATCGATGTTTCAAAAGAAAAGAAAAGGGGGCGGCAAGTAAGAAAATCCGACCCTGATCTATGTGCGAAAATAAAAAGCAATTTGCAATGCCAATTAAAATAAATGAGAGTATAGCCCCTTCAATTAGATAAAAAGCAATACACACAACACCTTGATACAACGGCAATATAATCTTTCCGCGTGATAGCAATTTACTGGTGCCCGTTCTGCTCGGGTGTTAATTGCGGATATTATCTTCCAAAAATTTTCAGTAAATTGTTTACGCAATTTAATCTAAAATATCTGAAAATTTCAAGGAAAAATATGCGTGAAAGTTGTCAAAAATACATGTTTTATCGAGGAAAATGTAGCAACTCTCGAATGTTCATACGGCGTTCTTCCTTAATTAGCACGGCAGTGTTGTCCTCAGCGCAACAAGCTAATGTTAGTGGAACGGTTTTCGTTTTGGCAATGAATCCGATCCCGAAAAATCCATTCTTTCTCGGGGGAAACTTGGCAACATCCGTATGCTCGTCGGAGTTTTCCCGTAAAACGGCAGCACAGTTCGCGAGAGAAAAGTGTTTTTTAACACTTACGCTCATTAATTCTGGCGAACGTACGGCCTGGTCGTTTCTCGTCCGATTATCGAGAAGTTGGCTGTTACTGCCCCAGGTTTACGACCCTCGCTGAAAACACTGTTAACATCCGGACTGTTCAGCTCGTTGAGCTTCGAGATCGTGCTCGCCCTCTACTCCACCCTGCAGCTTCATTAGGACCACAGGTTACAATGAAGAATCACTTGTGTCTAGCTCATTTTAGACAAAAAACGAGGGGAGCAAGAAAATGAAAATAACTTGTGCGTCGTTAATTTCTAAATGCAGGTAGGTGATTTCACAAATGAACCAGAGACAGCGAATTTTTCTCGCAAAATGAAATCCGTTGAGACAGAATCTAGTCGAAAGCAGGGCTAGGAACGCCGCAGAAGCTTTGTACTAGATTAGGTACATTGTGCAAGAAGGAAATAAATGAGGAGCTTGCAGGACAAGGCGCATAAGTGCTTTTTTTGGAAAAATTGAGGTATGAATGATTTCAAGTAAAACTAGTCTTTCTGCATATTCTCTGCTAATTTGCTCCCGAATTCCAATTTTTAAGTATCAAAAAGTCAGTTTGAACTTACTTTCCGCCACAAGGGTCCTTGTCATTTCGAAACTTCAAACACGTATTTCTCGAAATGACAAAAATTGCACTTATACGCCTTGTCCTCCAAGCCCCTCAAATATAGTTACTACTTTTAGCCCTTCTTACAGAGAAACGCATAAGTTGCGTAAACTTTCCCATTTGTGGCTTTTTTAATGAGCTTGAAGTATGATTCCCTATTGTATAGGCTGAAGTTCAATTAATTTTTTAGCACATGGGAAATTTGAACCGCTTTCATTTTCCCGTCATACTGCACTTCTTGTGCCCATGTGTCACGATTGTAGTTCAGTTGCACAATCGATCGACCTATGAAATTTAGGGCAGAAAAATCATGATGAAGATCAAAAGCAGATCTTGCCTGGAAGCGCCTTCATTTATGCATGATACATCACGCTTTGTCACAAAGTCAGTTTAGTTGCTTGAACAATCGAAGCCCGCAATTTATGTCACCAGAGCTGAAATGAAGATCAAAAGCTGATCGCGGCTTGATCGAGGCGCCTTCATTTTCACGTGATACATCACGACGTTCTCAGTCACCCAGCCGACCTGACACCAAACCTCGGTTTTAGAATTGGACGTATTTATCATGCGGAAAGGAACTATGTGCACACCTAGGTTTTGCGTGTAACATAGTTCCTTTTAGCATAAATACGTCCAAATGAAGATTGCATCATTCATTTTGGACGGATTCCCGAGTAGATGAAAAATTTAATTTAGTTTCTTCAATTATCTTCTACGAGTTTTGTGCGATCCGGAGAAAAAAAAAATTCGAAAAATAAGTATAGTGCGAAACTTTTTTCCCGGAAACAGACGCGAAATTTCACACAATACCATTACGCATAAAACCATTTTTGATTTTGAAGCTGCGTAAGAAATAAACATATCCACGACTCCAGTTTTAAAGTATTTTCTCCAAGGCCGATTGGACCGAAAATTCCCGGGCCCATTTCTCAGAGCCAGCAAGGCACATAGCCACATTAGTTCAGAGAGTTCACCTTCGCATTCAATCAATTTCTAATTACCCATGCAGAGATAGGAATGAATACGTTAGTTTTGCCTTGATAATTGCTAGAAATGATATTCTAGACAATTGAAGTAGAGCTCTGTCGTGCTACAGGCCGAAGATCGCCGCACAGTGGGTCGAGTTAATTAGAGAGCAGGTCGGACATAAAATTTTCGACTAATACTGCAAATATTGGTATTTATCTCGTCGCATTTAACATTTCAAGGTATGTTTTAGGTAGACAATTTTACGAGGAAACTAATGGAACCACTTTTAAGACCTTAAAGTTCTGTATGAAAGGAGTTATGAGCTTTTATAGTTTCCAAATGTTGTACGACCTTCCCCATTGACTCGATCCACCGTGCGCCGTATGAACCTTCAGACGCCCCCAAATTCCCTTGTAGGAGCGGAAATGTTGAAACAACGCGATGGAGATACGCGGTTTGGCACTTGGGCCATGGATATGTGTCTCGCTTTTGGCCACGCTGTCGTTGTCTGCGCAGTTTTCACTTTCCACCGTTTTCTGAGCTGAGTGATGACTGATGAGCGAGAGAGCGACTTCACGGGTTCATGATCACAATCTCTCCTCTAAACGAAATGGAGCTACTCGCTATGAGCTCACCGATACACGACACAAAATCCATCAAGATTTGACCGATTTAACGGCGTCGCGTCATTTAGAGACAATCAGACGAGAGCCAAATCGCGACAATAATCAAAACTTTTACTTCCGCATATTCCAAATCTCTTTATGGAAACAACGAGGTAGGCATAACACTGCCGTGATATGATATAAAACATGACAGGAAATCTGCAACTTCACAAACGAAGATACTTGGTTTCATAATTTAGCCATCGATTTCTTCCCTCCAAAATGAGTATCAGAGATGGTTCATTGTCTTTGTGTAAAATCTAGTCCATGTTTTTTTCCAGGAAAACCAAAGGAACGCAACGATTTAAAACTTTCCACCTTTAAAAAATGTATTTCAACATACACCAACAAAATTTCAAGACAGAATATTGTACGTATAGTTTTCTTGTGAAGCAATGAAATACGAGAAATAACAAGGGAAACCGCTACGTACGCGGCTGATGTAGTTAGATTGAATGTGGTCATCGCCACATGTCATTGCCGTTCAATTAAATCTGATGGAATCTCCCGCCACAATCTTATTGGTCAAACCAAGTTCGTTTGCGCATGCGCGTGCCCCCCTCCTCCTGTCATTTCATCATTCACGGATTTGTCAGGGACGAGTTCTATAGGACGCCGTTCTGTTGTGAGCGGGTGATTGCAGCGCATTCTCGCGTAGGATCCTAGTCAACTCAGAGGATCCTCCCCCCCGAACCTCGACTCATCCATCGCCCGCTCCAAAAGTGAGGTTAAGCCGGGGATTGAAAAATAACACATAAGGCGGCTGAATTCTTGAAAAATAAGTATATTTTTGGCGTTTTTCGACCCCTTTCGACAAGGAAGGGTCCGCCGCATGTAGTAATACGGTGAAAAATTCGATTTTTTGCAGTTATACGCGATCCTACGGATTTTAATGAAGTCCAACAACTGATAACAGCAGTGAGTTGCGAGGATCCTACGCGAGAATGCAGCACTAGTACCTGCTCACGAATTTTTACATTGACTCTTACGGGAGTCCAGGGTCCTATAGAACTGGTCCCTGGATTTGTTTACAACTCCACGTATGTGTAAACAATGAGCCTTGAAATGAGAACGGGAAATTCATATTCGCCTGTTTCGTGGAATCATTTCTGTTTAATTTTTAACACTTTGTCATCTAATCTTCATCTTATCGCGCTGATCTTGTCTCAACATTAATTTTCTAAGCCTGTGGTTTTCTTATTGAGTGTTATCAACAATTCGCTCAGTCCCGGTCTCATGCAATTGCAAGAGCCACGCCGACAATCAACAGGTGCCGATATTATGTAGCCTTTCTATTTATACTTTATCAACTGTAATGGAAAATATGTGATGATTAAACCCCAATGTGAGAATTTTTTCTGCTATCCAGTAGTTTCACTCGTGGTTTCTGTCATTGTCAACCTATACTCTTCTAAGCTGTTGGGATGGTGAATACTTACTACCACTTACTACCACCTTAAATCAGGGTGCGATTTCAACTAGTTTCCCGATTGAATCTCAAGAAGAGTTGGATATTGAAGTGGTGCCATTATTTCCATAATAATCAGCCAGGCTCCGCCACTGTAGCTCTCCACATAGCCGACTGCTTATGCTTTCATTACACGCAGTGCAGAGAGAAAAAGTAAATGACCACGTTATTGCTTTCAACTTAGCTTGGTCTGTTGAAGATGTGCTGAATTTTCAAAGTTTTCCTGAAGAAGACATCTACTGATGCTCTTTTGCATCAGGGACACATCATTTAGGCACTGAGCCTGTCAAGCTTCCCAAATACTACTGGTATTCAAGCGATGCTGCTCTCTGCCGAAAAATGTCTTGTTGTGAGGGGACTTACGGTATGAGCAGATTCCTTCATGAACAGATTTAATTGCTGTCCTGACGGAGCTGTTCTTTGCACCAAGTGAGGCACAGAAGTAGAAAAAAAAATAGATAAAAGTTTCAATCATGATACTGTGCTTAGTAGGGCACTAGACAAGCTATGAACTTAACCACTTTTTTGTTCCCTTTTTTCAATCTCTTCAAACTTTTATGTAGTTTATGATATTTGTATCAAGAAGTTTGGTAATGAGGGCCTCAAGGAAGGTTAGGTATTTTTTTTTTTTTTTTAGACAATGTTTTTATAATAAGTATTATTTTGGTAAATGGGAAAAATACGAAAGTTGCCATTGGTATATTCTGTGTTCCATGTGATCAGTGTGAAGAGAACCTGACTATATCGACGGTGTAAGTCGGCAATCACATAACTCAGTTTGTGACGTTGCGGACTCCCTGTCATACTTTATGCTTAAAACAGAAAATCACTCAACGGCAATTCTTTAAAACTGTCATGATTTTTCTTCTCTGTGCGAAGAAAATTCTGCAAAAACTTCAAGGAATGATGTCACTTTGTTCTCCTTTAAAAAAATAACATAGAGGCGGAGATCTTCAGACACCACATCCGAGATATGTGATTGCGGATTTCGGAAGTATTTTTCTAAGGTTTTGATTTCCTGACATCCCATTGCTTGAATCGCCTCCTTTTTTAGAATTTTGAAGAGCAAACATGGAAGACGATGCTTTAATGAATATCTTGTCAAGGGATCTAGGATATTATATGTTTTTAATTTTATAGGTAGTACTTCAAGCGGCAGATGTTCTAATGCGTATCTCTCGGTTGTTTGTTACAGGATTCAAAGCTTGAATAATGGCTAAAAACGAAAAAAGCGTGTTTTTAACGTACCTTCTTTGGCTGTTGGGTGGTTTCTTCGGACTCCATCATTTCTATCTGGGTAGAGATATGCAAGGCTTTTTGTGGTGGTGCACTCTTGGAGGCTACATGGGTTGCGGCTGGTTACGGGATATATTTCACATCAGAGAATATGTCGCGGATGCCAACAGAGATCAGGAATACATGAAAAAACTGTCACAGACTCTAAGGCAAAATCCAAAGGTGAGAATATAATTTTTCAAGATCATAACGCAAAGTTTGTATGTATCATTCATGTCTCTAAATCCTGGTGTCTAGGACCCAGGTCAATCGGGATTCATCAGGTTATGAAAAATTTCAGGGGAAATCCATGAAAAATGAAGGAATCTGTTCTAGGAACAGGGAAGCTTTTCTTCTACAATTTCACTTAGAGCCATTTCGTTTTTTAATTTTGCAGAAATTTTAAGCACTTATTGTTATTGAGGTGTATGTTATTGCACCTGAGTAGCCATTATTGACCTCTTGAATGACGTGTTTGAATATTTAAATCATCATCATAGTTGAGGAGCTATCAATGAACACAGGATAAAAACACCCGGAGTGCTTCTATGGAATTAAAAATTTGGTCTGTGCAATAGAACCGGCAGAAAGATGAAAAAAATTTGATATTCACATGAGGGACTGTGGAGAGCTATATGTTTCTTAAGAAAATCTTGGGGAAGGGGGAAAACCCAAGGTTTTTCATCAAGGAATAAGCAGAAAATCTGGGAAATTCTGGGAATGAGCAGGGCCAGAAATTCTAGACACTGTGCTTCAAATATGTCACAGCTAATGACAAAAATGCGCCAATGTCAATTCTTTATTATGATTAATTAATTCGTTAATCCTTTATGGACCTGCAAATCTGGCATAGATTCTAGCATAATGTAATTTGCACGAGCTTATAGATAATTTCTTCAGCTTCCTAATTTGACCTCGTTGAGCTCATTTGATCAAGAATTTGCTGATCTTTAGAGATTTCCTTGGACCTTTTCCAATTTTTTTCTGAAAAAACAGGACCTGCAACATTCAACTTGAGAATGAGATGACAATCAGGGAGGGTCGTGTTTCTATTGCTCATACTGAAATGAATACAACATCGAAAACCTTTTCAACTTTTTATCACTCATGAATTGCATCAACTCAACTCTGTATCAGTGCTGCTTTAATTTTTTCTTTCAGCCACCTTTTTCCAGTGTACGGTTCCTTGGTATGATAGTAGTTGGTTACATTTGGGGCTCAATCGTTCACTTGGCAGTCCCAGAAGAAGAAGTGGGAGGTTACAGTTTCTTGTGGCTGCGACATTTGGTTCCTCTAGCCTGTGCTTTAGGTAAGATAATTGTAACAAATTTACTCAAGAAGAAAAATCTAAACGGTAGCTCTCAATAACTGGACAAGATAAAAATGTAAAAAGCCCAGGTGATGAAGCTCCCAAAACTAAATGATAGAAATGTTTTGTATTGGCTAGTTACTTGGTGGTACACTTGAAAATTAGGGCAAAACAGGAAAAACTTGCATGTTTCTCTCATAAGAGGAAAGTTGTCGTTTTGCATAGGTATTGCATCTGTATATTATGATAAAAAAAAGCAGAACTAATAGTCAAAGATGCATTTCATTTACCAAATGCATCTTCAGCTAGCTTTGTTTGCCTTTCATGAACTTCAGAACTATGTGTAAAACGTGCACTTTTGCGTCTCATGTGAAATAGGAGCCTCCATAATTTCTTTTCACTCTGACTCTCAATCAAGACAGAATCGAAGCATTTTGGACCTACCAAATTTGACTCAACCCTATTTCACTATTTTTAAAAATTGGTTTTGCATTGGTTAAAGGAAAATGAAAATTGGCTGTAAAAATTCATCAACAATTTTGTTATTTCATGTGTTTTTTCACCACACAAAAGCAGAACCAATCTGCAGTAGTGATAATATGCTCAAGTCAAAAACCTTTTCATATATATTGCATTTTTCCCTGCTTGGTTCGAATCAATGGGCAATGCCACCCGCAGGAATAGTTTTAGGTCCTTGACACATAATAAAGCAGATTGCAGAAGGAATTTGGTAAATAATTGAGTCCATCGGTTTAGGGTTAGAGTTTTGGTTTGATAACCTTGCCTTGACGCAGTGCTAGAAAAAAACAGGAAAGCCAACACGTATGTTTAAACCTGCTATCAATAACTGAAGTCATTTTACTGACAATCTATTTCTCCCAACACTTTAATCTAAGGATCTTAGCGAAAAGTTCTCCGAGGATACACTCTCTATTTTAGGTAATGCACGAATACCTCCATTATCGTAAACTTGTATCAAGAGAAGCAATATTTGAGTATTCAAATCTACAGTTTTCACCAAAAGAAGTTCCTAATTCGAAAATAAATTAATTTCTCTTGTAGGTATTTAATTTTCTCTGGTTTGCTTTTTCAGGTGTTTGGTCTGTAGGCAACATTGGTCATGAAACAGGCGGTCTGAAGTTACCATTAATTACAGCTTATGTTACGTATCCCCTAACTTTTTACAATTATTTTGACGAATCCACTTCTTTCACAATTATGGTCATAGCAGCAGCTTACATGTTTGATACTAAAGCCAAGAAATGGAAACGTAGATTCAGACCGCAAACATCTTGTTTGAAGTAAGTCATTGTTAAAAATCTTAATATCGTTTTGGGGGTTTGATTTGCAGCATAAAGATTCCTGTATAACTGAGAAGGGGAGTCTCAGGAGTGGCCACCTCCGACTCTCTTGCACTTTGTCGTAACAAACAGTTCAAAGGAACCTGATGGATCCTCTTCAGTTTTTACCAATGGGTCTCTGAAACCTCCAACAAAGTTGTCCAAAAATGCCCTATGATGATCATCTGCAGTAGGTATAGAGAATGATTGTCAACCTGACATGTAACAAACAGGGGTAGAGCAGTGGTTCAGTACTTGCCTCGTGGTCATGCGGACTTGAGCTCAAGTCCCTGGCCAGATATTAGTTTTAAAAATTAGATTTAATTATTTATTTTTGTCATAAAAAAAGTCCTTTTCCCTAGAACTCTTGCTCCTGCTGGAACAAAATTTAAGAAAATTATAATGTGAAGATGAGTTGCTGTAAAAAAAAAAAATTGGATTCGGTGACCCACATCATTTCTTATATCATTGAGAGCCCATCATATTAATATTTTTATAAAATGTTATTCTCGTGTGAGGTTCTAAGGGGTCAACCAGAAACTCAGAAAAATGTGTTCCAGAATATGTTTAACTGATTTCTGAACTAACTTGCGAATTACATTAAGAATAAAATCACTGAAACTTTAAAAGAAACTCAAAACTTTTAATTTCAGTTGAGAAATCCTCACTCAATTTATGACCTGTTTAAGCACTGTTTAAGTAAAGACAGTTTTGAGTTTTTTTTAAAAATTTTAACGATTTTATTCTTAATTTAAAGGTTCTTTTTTTGTTTTTTAGCCTTATTTTCATTATCATTTTAAATGAATTAGGTTTGTTAGGTTCCTGTATAGCTGCTCAAAGTTGATTAATTTTCTCTTTTAGGAGGTGCCTGATTCTTGGCTCATGTGCACTATTGTACGCATCTCTACTAGGCAGTTACCTGTACTTCAACGCCTCAATAACTGACGAGGAAGGAGAACAACTACCAATGAGAGAAGCGATTTACCATTTCTTCAAGTCTCCATGGTGGACGGATATCAAACAGTCCTTCATCGATACATACAACTATGCACAAGTTCATGGCTGGATGGAGGTCTGGAAACAAATAATAGACTTATCTGATCCCTATGGGGAGCAGAATGCTTTCAAGGTTTGTTTTAAATTTATTTCTTTTAATATCAATAACCCAAGGACTAAAGTGAGGGGGAGCTTGGTGTGAAGAACCCGTAAGATTAGGAGCAAAATATTTGACATGACATCATAAATCTAGCCGAAACCTTGCAGTCCTTATGATGATGTCATCGAGTTTGGAAGCAGAAGTTTAGGTATCTGCACTACCATACAACGCAAAGACGCCGTAAACGCCATTTTGCATATTTTGGAAACAATGTATCGTAGCAGAAAAACTTGTGTATCTCGGGACAGTGTTTTTACGGAATTTTTTCGAAAATACTATCAAGAACTTAACCTGAAAATTTGAGGTGCATTGGTAAAACAGTTTTTATTTCATGAAGTGTTAAGTTCCAAAAAACGAGGGAAAATCTAGATGGATTTACGGCGTTCTTGCATAGCACAGCAGTGCACTGCTCTGCTGATGGCTCCAATTAAATCCAAAACGTACCTGCAGTTCCCATCTGGATTAACCATACTTCAGTTTTGCTCCATACCTACAGCGTAGCGATGGCCAAAGTGCGAAATCACACATATCTCCATTGCGGTGTATCAAAATTTCTGCTCCTAATTTATTATTTCAAGGAGAAACAAGCCAATTTTATAGCTTAAAATTTATACAGAATATTCTGCTGACAGAGAAGAAAAAGCAAGGAGGCTTTCAAGAGATCAAATTGACTAGTTTTTTTTTTTAAAAAAAAAGTAACGTATGATAGAAAGTCTGCAATGTTGCAAACGGAGATACGCAGTTTTGCACTTTGGCCACCAATATCTTTATGAATACATAGGGAAAAATTACTCTAAATGAGTTTTTTCTTTTGTTACAAGTACTTCAGTTTCTAAAGAAGGCAAATCACCAAGTCAAGATTTGTGCAAAAAACTGAAGGTACACAACTCTTATTTTGAGAAATCGAGATATTAATATAGTTTTGATGCATTTTGAAGATCTTTAATAGCAGTTCTGTGCCTGCCATGGGATTGTGGAGAAAACAGAACTCAACCGTGAGCTTGAACAATCGGGAATTTAGATGATTCAAGTTTTAATAATTAGGAATTTAGTTTACAGTACTGTTCCAAATTTTTTGAGCATCAAATTAAAACTAATATTGCAATGCCTTCTCTTAGACCGCAGATTGAAGAAATTATGCATCTGAATTGGTCAATAGACAGAGTCTGAACCAGTAAAAAACTTTACGTTTTTAGCTAAAACGCTCGTGTAGAAAGCAATTTCAACAACGGGAAGTTTGTAAAAAAGCCTCTGGACGAAATGTGAGAAAATATTTTTAACATAGATTAAATGGAAGTTGGATTATACAATTGACATATTCCGTATTTCTGCCTTTTAATCACTGTTATTTGTGAATACTCACATCTTGTTTAGGAGTTGATCTCCTGACTTCCCATTGTGTGATTCGCTTCCCTCATAAAATATTTCAGATGAAATATGTTGCCAAGTGCTTTAATTCAAACATTGTCTAGTGGCGCGATGCAGCGCTTAAAAATGCCCATCCATCTTTTATTTGAAGGGCAAAAGGGAAAAAAAGCAGTAAGAGATTTTTCCTGGCAAATTTTCAGGAATTTTTTTTCAATAGAGTAAATAGCATTTTGCAAAATTTCACTGATAATTGAGGTCCAGGATGCGAAAAGGGCACTTCTCGGTTGCGGTGTTTCAGAGTCTCCTCTAATATTTCATTCATTGTAAGGAAAGTGAATGCATCCATTTCACTAAAAATTTTACTGAATATTCCTTATGATTCTACAATTCTCTTTGGAAAGAATTCTGGAAAAATCACTCATTAAATTCTTCTCCAAGGGATTAATTGGCAGTAGAGATTCTGAAACACTGCAATCAAGAAGTGCTCTTTTTGCATCCAGTGCCTCAATTAGTCCACTCTTCCATATTTGAAATTATTTGTTAAGAGCTACTCATCATTTTAAGAGCTACTCATCATTATGATGCAAAGCGAAAATGCAGTTTCCTAGATTTATAATGTTAACATCATAAATTGATTTATATGTATACCTCTTTCCAGAGGTAGTTCGTACCTAAATGTTTTGAATTTAAACTCATTACTCATTTCCTCAATTTATTTCAGGTGCTTGATCTTTCGATGGGTGCAAGGCAAAGTGATATCAATTCACGCTGCAAGAAGTTGGCTGTAAAATATCACCCTGACAGAGTGCAAGATCCTGAAGAGAAGAAAGTCGCTCAAGAGAAATTTTATGAAATTCAACAGGCCTGCGAAATCTTGTCGAGTAATCGCGCCAAGAAACGAAGGAAGAATAAACAATTCAACGAATGATCCTAATTGATACCGGAGTTGCAATGACTGGTCCTAGACAAAGATCTGCCCATGCATTTTTTTCTGCGAAGTACTTCCTTGCTAAGGCAAGGAAACTACTTCTATTTTCCTAATCATTTTTATTTTTCGATTTGTTGTTTAAAAAGGTCTCTCTTAGAAATGGTATACTTTAAACATGCCTCATAAAAAAAATCTAAGTTTTATATCCCCATGATTTATTAAAATATTCTACATAGGGTAACCTAGAACAAAATAGGGTACTCGTGGAGAAGCACCCTACCAAAAAAAATAGACTATCCGTGAAATGCATTTTGGGATGGCTGCACAAGAAACCAGTGGAGCTTAATAGTCCATTTCCTGATTGGTCAACTGATTTGAAGCCTGGGAAAATATATCCACATGCAAAGGGTTGTAGACATTTCTGAGGTAAATTTCTCAAAAACCTATTCATCTCACCCCGTCCATAACAACATAATTTCGCTTAAACTTTGAAATTCCAAAGTTGGAAGTATCCATATGCTAGCAAAGTCAATAAAACTTAAAAAAAAACCAACTAATATTCAAGAGAAACCAGACAAACAACAATTACATTGCCCAATTCAATACACGTGATTGTGAACGATCAGGATGAGTGGATAGCCCCACATTTGTTATAAGTAACCCTATTTCTAACCAATAAGATGACACAAGTACAAAAATTTACTGAGAACTCGTGCAATTATCCTCTCATTGAAATCGTGAGTAAAATCAAAATCCTCTACCCGGATTGATGCTTGATTTTACCGTTGATCTCAGAAAACATGAGGTTTTGTTTCTATGGTATAATGTTAGAGTATTTACCAAATATCTTTATTTAGTTTTAACACTCATAAGCTTCCATTTCTCCAAACTATGGTAAACTGAAGCAAAATCAAATTGTTATTAACCTATTCTGTTATGGTATATTAACTGAAGAGATTCATTCAAAATGTTTGAGCCAGAAGAAGTGTACAAATCAGTCAGATAGGCATTTTTTCTGTATTAAACCTCTAGACAAGGTACGAATTTATTAGCATTATTTTCTCATCTGGTTTTTCTAGTGAGTGGAAAATTTAACTTTTTTGTTACTAATGGTAAATAAAAATGTTGATACCTTGGTTTTGAGTGGATATCAGTAGTTTTAGTGGAATTCTGAAGGAGATATATGTATCAGAATGCTTAAATTCGTACCTTGTCTAATGGTCTTTTGTCTTCCCCTCCAAGAAATGAATTAAGATGAGAAAAATATTTTTAAAAATCCCTTCCATGGAATGCAGCATCACTGATTTTTTAGTAGGGAAATATGACATGGTATGGATGCCAAAATGTAGTTAGAAAATTCATCTCCCTCAACAACATTTTACGCTTTAGAATCTTGATTTTTCATGAGTCTGTGATAAATATTTTGTCTGCTAATTCTGGATAAGTATTTACGGTTTCTCGATTAGGAAGAAAAAGGCAAGCTGATACATTCCAGAATGCTTTTGTTATTTTTTTGATGAGAGATTTTATAATATTGTCTTAATGTAAATCGATGGCTAAATTCTGAACATGTAACTCATTCTTTATGAATTTTGAGAGAGCTGAAAAGTAGAGTTAAAGAGGATGCTTTTGATGCATTTTTTTAAATTACCATTTGAGGAAAGTTGGAAATAACTGAGATACTCCAAAAAGAGTCTAAAAAAGGAAACTATAAAATTTCTGGACTCTCCTGAAAAACGGAGATGTCTGAGTTACAGCTGTTATTAGAATTTAGCTATCAAAATGTATGAATTCATAGTTCGCCGTTTAATCGACTCTTATTTATGTATGCAAAAAATTTTTTAATTAGACATGTACATTTCAATACGTCACTTTATTTAGAATACTTTATCTGTAGAAGAAAAGAATGAAATTTAGTCAGCTCTTATACATCATAATTCCTTAGATGGAGAGTATTTGGATTTGTTTCTGTACAATCCAGAGGCCTTATGTTGAATATTATTTGTTCAAAATTTATTTATGTGTTAGTTGTAATGATCTGATTTATCCGTGCAATAGCTCACATTTGTACTTGATTTATTTTAAAACTTGACCGTCCACTTTCACTTCTTTTATGGTGAAAGATTAATCGCTCAAAATATCCATCGAAATCAGTGCCTTTTAATTTGACCCTCCCGTTTAGTTAGAGTAGTATTTTAAAGATTTGCTTGCTTATAGTATCTGTGCCAATTTCAATTTTTTTCTTAATCCAGTAACTATTTGGAAAAATTCAAATTAGATAAAAATTTGATGGTCTGAAGCAGAGAATGAATAAACCTTTATATTGATGGATTTACATCAGTAACTGAGTACATAAAAAAAACAGATTCTTACCTGTTCTAACAGAGACAAGCAAAAAATGGCCTCTTCACTTTTTTTACATATTTCACTGAGGCCTGTTATCTATGTGTTTAATAATTTTGACAGAGAAATGCTAGAACATCACCTCGAGTATATATTTACAAAATCATATCACAGTGTTTCGAAGTAGAACTGTGTACTTTCATCTTCAGCATGAGCGACACAAATGCTGCCCCTAAATTTTTCATTATTTTGATCAAATTTATTTCCGATGGCAGAGGGCGCAATTTATCACAAGGCATCCTAGTCCTTTACTGAATTTTGTGATCTATTGGTTTTTTTGTTCTCTGTGCTCAGTTCAGGATATTCATCCCAAGGTTGATTGAATATTTATTTTTTGATCAACAAAAAAAAGTAAGTTGAGATCATTAATCATGTTAAACCAGGGTTACATACTTTATCATATAAATATTTTTTTAATCTTGCAGAGCTAAGTGCAATCAGGGTACACATAGCTCTCACTTGATTAAGTATTATTGATTTATTTTTTGTGATTTTAGATTAGAATAATTGAGTATTGATGAGCTATCTACATTCTGAAAACTGGATTTGTTAAAAATACAAGTTTAAGAATCGAAACTGCACAGTAAAAAATTATCATCTCACCGATAGTGCAAATCAGAGAATCATGAAGTCAGCATAATTGCCAAAGAATGGCTTTTGGAACTTGCTTTTTTTTCCTAATGCTAGGTGCAGCATTTCTAATAAGTACATTAGCAAGTATTTAGTAAATGCTTAAGCTGTATTTGATTCCAGAATTATTCTGTATGCAATCGTTTTGATCACTGAATTTAAATATATTCTGAAAATGTTATTTGTAAATAAAATTAATTTATTTTTTATAAGTTATCTTGTGGTTCTGATCTTATATTTTTTTACCACTGTCACTGCCTTTCCTTGATAACTGCCCAATCAATCATTTGTACCTGAAGAGCTCTTGCGAGCCCCATCTAATTTTCAGTTTCTCTTTTCTTTTTCTAAAAGTAAGTCAGATTTGAAAAATCAATCGATAACATTTCAACGTATTCCACTTTTCAACAACCTTAAAGAATTCCTCTTGCATCATGGTTTGAATTTTATAATCAGGATCCATTTTAGACCCTTTCGGAAACCAATGATGGAGATTCCAGCCCAATGTGTGTCAGTTTCAATCGCTGAGGCCCTGTTAAGATTAGAAGGCGAAGCACTTACATGGGAAAAATTCATATTGCTGATTTAACAATTTTTTAGCTAAAAAAAGTGTGTAATATGTTTCAATGTAGATTTTTCAATAAAAATTGCTAATTTAACCACCTCCTTAAAATTAGCTTTCAACCATTGTAAAATGTACGTTTGAAACATGTCAGACATGTTATTTTTAACAATTAAATTGTTAAATCAGCAATCCTATTCCTTCTGTGTAGTGAGCACAAAAAATCCAGTCAAATCATTCGTTATATGTTTAAAAGCAAGAGCAACAGTCTACCAGCCCCCCTCCCCCCCCAAAAAAAAAAACTCCTGGAATCTCAGAGAAACGCAAGATACCCGTGCAATTTTTTCGAGGCAAAAAACCGTGAGAAAAATCCTGGCATAGCTCATTAACGGAAGTATGATGGTTCTGACCGTGCACAAATTTTCTCATCAGAAAAATTTCAACTTATTTTCTTAGAAAAGATCAACTTCAGGATCCTAAATTGAGTTGTCGAGGTCTCGAACGTAGCTCTCACTAATATGCACAAACATTTTCTCGTAAAAAATTAAATTGCCCAATTAAAATTGGCAAAAGCTGATGTGGCTTGGTTCCTTTCTGTTAAACGCGGTCCATCTCTCCTTCAATTTTTTAGACTTTTTAGTAAAGTTACAAGCAAAATTCTGTGAAAAATCAGAAGATAAACATTCCAGAATGATTCCAAGAATTCGCGATTTTCCAAGGAAATTCGGCAACGTCACCTGGGGCTGGGGTACCTAATAAGCGTGGGATTAGCCAAAGGCTATTTGAAATTGGTTAAAAAAAAAAAAAATAAAATAAAATAAAAAAAATAAAAAATGAAAAAAAAAAACGTCTCCAGGCTTAAACGGCTCATAAATAAAAAAGAAAGACATGACAGAAAATCGGTTTGAGTATGTAGTCTTTACGCTGAACATGTTTTTATGCGGTATAGATAACATTAAAATTTGATTTTGTCTTTTAAGAATTGGATTAGTTTGTTAAAAAATCTGGTCTTATGCTTCTTTTTTTAAACAATGTGACACCTCTTGGCCTTCCACCCCAAACTTAAGCCCCTTTCAGTTATAAATGACGGACATGAGCAGGCTGTCAGAAGCGCAAAATTAAAATTTGGCGCGTAATATTTCGGCGGGCGACAAAAGCCAGCTTTCCAACAACAGCATTTATTCCCTAAAATTCCTGAAACATAACACAAGTCGAATCTCTTGTTTGATTACTAAAGTTAGACTTCTAAAGATCTGAAAAGAATGGAATCGGAAACTATGTATGTAACAGACACCATGAGGTTATCATATTTCTCTTCTATAATTTTCTCTTTAGCATTTCTTTCTGAGGTTTCCGAGTTCTCGTAAGCAACAGGTTGGCAAGCTTCGTTGTTTACATCTGAAAGTTATCAGCATCAGCTGCTGTTGAGGTTATGTTGCATCCCTTGCCATCCCTTGTTGATGTTGCCGAAACCCTTTGTCCATGCGCGTTCTTGAGTTCTTTCTTGACCTAATTTTCCGTTTGCGAGGCTTCAGTCCACGCAGTGTCTTTACTTACAAATTTTATTTTCAGTTCAGACCATATTATTCAAGGTTCAACGAACCGTTCACATTTGAGGCACCTTTTCCCGTGATCATGTGCGTTGAGTGAAAATTCATTCTTTTGTGACTTTCTCCTTTTCCACATTAAACATGTGCTCCTTATCGTTCTTCTGCGGAGTTCATCAAAACCTGTGGTAAAGATCCTGGTTCAGATATCTGTAATCTCTGGAGTCTCAGTTTGCTGGAAGTACCTATTGTTTTCCAGCAAGTTTTATCAAGTGCTATGGTGTTCGACTGCAGCTCCCTAAACCTTGACTGGCTTTTCCTCACCCCCAAAAAATTTGGTAAGCATCTGAATCCTATTAACTTCTTAAATTTTAAACCAAGTCTTATTTTGCTTGACTTACTTATTGGCCTCTGCGTCTTCACATCGCCAAGCTAAGTCGAAGGGATTGCTTTTCAGATTCAGGTGAACTGTTGATTCATTGCTTCAGTTTTGCTTCAGTGAAGGTCATTAAGTTTACTGAAGGATTTTATTTATATCTGACAGCAATTTTTACAACCATGTCAATGCTTGCATTTGTGAGAACATCTATTGTAGTTAGATGGACCTTGAATATTCTGAACAATGAAAGGGAGCTGTACTGCAAAGAGGACATGGCTACTCGTTCCATGAAAATCCCCTGTTTTGTTTCTTTGGCACGACGGTTAAGAAACCTCAGGGTTACGAAACAATGAATGAGGGTAAACTTATGTAAACAGGAAAAGAAATACGGGCAGGAATTCTTTCGGGGGCTTTTCCGTAGTTACTTGAAGCAGAAGATATTTACTGAGCTTCCGAAAAGGAGGGATGAGTAAAAAAGAGAGAAAATCTCTGAATGAATTGTGTTGTTTTGAGAAAAAGAGTAGTGCATTATTATTGTTTTTATTTCTCAGTCATGTTGTGAATATTGTTCCTTTAAAGAATTAGATATTTTTTATTTAATGGCGATTACAATCCTCTAGAAAATTGGAAGTAAAGTATTCACAAATTTTCCATAAACCTTGTTTCCTGTCTTATCAAACAAACTTTGGCAACGTCCAAAGGCTCATTCAGTGTTCTTTCTCAACATAACGTTTTGATCGACAGAATATGACTTCCGACTTCATATATTTTTCCTACCACACAATTTTTGCGGCTATCGATGAGAGATTGTCCCTAGTTCTTCCTAGATCAGGGTGTCTACAGGTCTAAAGAATACGGTAGTTACTGTTTCTTAGGGCTGTTAGGAAGTACTAATGTGTGTATTTTAAGACAGCCAGGAAAGTATTTGCAATCCCTTACTCATTAAACCTTAGTGCATTATTTACCCACTAAATTGCTATTTTGCTCCCAAAGGATCTTCAGGCCACAAAGACACATTAACCCTTATGCTACGTCATTTTTGTTGCGATTTGCGCATTTTTCGAATTTTTGAAATTTTGAATTTTCTACTTGAGGGTAGGTAGGTACTGAGAAAGTAGGCACTGAATTTTCTTGATAAGGTACTGAATTTTCTTGAGAGGTTTGAATTTTTTGGGAAAGATCTTGAAAAGTATGTGAAGGTACTGACTTTTTGCCAGTCAGTCTCCATAGACACCCTAAAGAGATAGTCGAGTCAGTTTGACCTAGCTTGGGATTTCTATGAGTGGTCATCAAAAAAAAAGTTTCTAACCCGATACAACTCTCGCCAAAGTACCAATCCTCATAGACATGCGTCCTTTACAGTTCTTGAGAGACCTCTAAAAATTGTGTACTTTAAATGATTATTGATTTGGACATCTTGTAGCATATTTTAGTAAACCTCCCTGTAACTTCCTCTAAACTTCAAAAATAAGAGATAGCCCAAGGTGCTTTAATGACCGCGCAGAGATACAACTATTCGTGCTCGATGGATGTCCGTGTTGCATTTGCAAAATTGAAGGCGCGTTAGCCCGAGGCGTGAACTCGTAATGCTCCACTCTGTGCTGCCAATGAGGTGTCACTCAGATTCGGGAGGAAAGTTCAAAGGCGAGGCCCGATTACGGCTCTTAAATCTTCGGCTGGGTTGCTCACGTGAAGGCCTGGAGCACCACTACTAATACAAGACGAACGGAACCAACACAACATGGAAATAGAGCAGGGAAAAAGACGCGCGTTGCTGATGATGGCGCAGGGATCCGTCTATTCGTGCTTGATGGATGTCTGCGTTGCATCCGACAAATTGAAGGCGCGATGACGCGAGGCGTGAAATCGCAATGCTCCACACTATGCTGATAATGAGTCGTCACTCAGATTCGGGAGAAAAGTTAAAAAATGAGACCCGAATAAGTCTCTCCTATCTTCGGGTGCGTTGTCACTCGATTTTTTTTTTTTATTTTTTTGCAATTCAATGTCTGGTCCATTTTCTAGGATGTATTTGTGAATCTATATCTAAAGCTCGTATGCACCGGACCAATACAACCCACGGGGCACGCGTTTTTAGCACACGGAAAAAATGAAATTGCTGATTTAACAATTTTGTATTTTAAAAAAGTGACAGACGTGTTTTAGTGTAGATTTTACTATAAAAATACTAATTCAACTACGCCCTCGGTTGAATTATAGCTTTTCACTATTGTATAATGTACGTTCGAAATATGTCTGTCACTTCTTTTAACAATTTATTATTAATTCAGCAATCAATTTTTTTCCGTGCAAGCTTCGGGTCAATTTGACGCGACTATGGCATCTAAATTTTAAATAATGTATCCACTAAAATTGCCTTGACATGACCCAACTTGTGGAGGTAGGACAGGTCCTCGGTGATGCCTGGTGATAAAAAAACGTCAGTAATACATTTATGTAGGACAACAAGCCACCACTAATTCGTACATATATCTTGCCTCATCATGCACCATATTTCCTAAGTTTCCGTGACTTCTGATTTTTCCTGTATGCACCAGCATTTTTATCATGAGCAGAACGTTGTCTCTTAAGGAAGTCGGCCTCCTGTGGCGTATAGTGGTTGTAGCGCTGTCCCTATGACCAAGAGGTCCCGGGTTCGATTCCCGGCCAGGTGACCTGAGTTTGATGGGCTCGGGGAATGGTTCCCTGGGGCTGGGGTAATACTGCTGTGCTAAGGGAAAACGCCGTATGAACCCTCAGGCGTTGCCAAAATTCTTTCGATGAAATACGATTTTTTGAGAACCTATGATTATTTTTCTTCTAATTTTTCAGATTATTTTTTTCGCATTTTCGCCTAAAGTTCCTGGAAGTGTAAAGGAAAAATATTCACAAATCTCCTTAAAAATACACATTTTATCGGAGGAAATTTGGCAACTCTCGAATGTTCATACGGCGTTCTTCGTTAGCACGGCGGAAAGCGTAGGCCTAGCCATTAGGCTATTTAAAACTTGGTAAAAAAAGAAGTTCAATCTTAAGGCCTCCAAAATTCCGAGGGAGGGGGGGTTAGTTGGCTATATGGATTACATTTTGCAATAAGGAACCACTATTTCCGGCCCATTTTAGAAACAACATACATGCTATTGGTTTTCCTGTGCAGATATGCGCTTTTATGGGAGAGTCAGAGATAGTGGTTTCTTATTGCAAAATTTAATCCGTATAATAATTATTGGTCTTAAAATTATAATAATACTATAACTTCACCGCTCAAAGAAAATTCGTAGCCGTTCGTGAGTAGCTAGATAAATTGTCCTACTTGTACAATTCATGCATTACCAGGATATTATGCGATAGGTTCTTATACTAGCTTGCCGAACGCTTGAGGGTTTTCTCTCACTTCGTGATTAACACGCCTCAGGCTTTAAGTTCTCAAGCATAGAGATTATTTTTTCCCCGACGGTTCCAGTTATCTTAAAAAGCTTCGAAATCTTGAACTTTCTGCTGAAGGACCTACAGGTTAATGCCCCACCTACAATCCATTTTTTTACCTCTCTGTGGCCGGCTGAGCGTTATGTAACCTTTGATTTAATGCAGGAAAGTATTGATATCAAACCAGCTCTGAGGAAGGATATCTGTAAATTTAAGTAATTTTTAAATTTTTTCCCCTTCCGATGTCACGTTTATTCACGAATGAATTTCATCTCTCTTTTTTTTAAAAGATAGCTGACTTTTACTTGTGTAAAAAAAATCAGTTTCTAAAGACCTTTGTAATCCAGATAAAACGATGAAACCTCATTCTCCCGAGCAGAATGTGTAGACTAGTCTAGTCCCATATAATGAGAATCGAACTTCCGTTACCAGTAATGTGCGACACTGTATAACGCATTGTTTACAAGGTTGCCACGGTCAGGGAGTAGGTACCGAGAAATGCCAGGGAATTTTAAAAAGTCAGGGGAAACCTGGAACTTTCAGGGCAAATGACGAAAGTGTCCGGGAAAAATTGTTAGGTCAACTTGATTTGCTTTCCAGAATGGGTATGACAGTTCGAACAACAGATTTTGCGTGGAATGTATTTCAAATCACGTATTTTAATCCTCTGGCATATCCATAATTGTCAGGGGGTTTTACCACAATGTGTTAGAGAAATTGGGGAATTTTATTTTCTAAATTCTGTGGCAACCCTGTGTTTAGAAATTTCTTTCAGGGGTGCAAACAAAATTTTCCTTCCTATTCACCCGAAGTCCTGAGATTCACTTTCCCAACTTTCCTTCATTTTAGAGATTGTCGGAATTTTTTATATCCGTTTTCTAAATCTGTTGCAATGCTTTATCTCAAAAACTGTCCCCGCGGGTAGCCCGTAGACGAGCCCATTCTATTCAGATCAGTGTTCTGCGTTAATTCTAAAATTTTAGGAGCCACTTGGGCTGGAAAGCCCAATTTTCAGGAAGCATCTACAATTTTTTAGGAGTCAAATTAACCTTTGTACATGCATGGTGTGTGTCTGTTCTGTTCTCGAATCTTCTCGCTCTCGGACTGTGTTGAGAGGGCCAGCGCCGCTTCGCGCACGGGAAGAAACGAAATTGCTGATTTAAACATTTTGCAGTTAGAAAGAGCGTCAGACATGTTTCAATGTAGATTTTACGACTTAAAAGTTCCACTATATTACACTATATTGCGTTACACAAAATATTGTGTTAGCTTTCTAACTATTGTAAAATGTACCTTTGAAACATGTCAAATATGTTTCTTAACAATTTAATTGTCAAGCCAGCAATCCATTTTTTCCCGTGCGATTGCGAATTTGAAAAATCGCTGGGGTGCGTTAACTTTTCTGGCCGGCCCCTCTGATGAAAATCGGAAAAAATCGATGTAAATCGCGACTGAAACGGCGCGAATTTCCGATTTTTAGGCAGAGGAGATGGATCACCGGTTCAGATTTTGGTTCCTTATATATTAAGTGAT